TACACGGGGATCCTTGAACCAGGAGACGCAGAGGTCGGTTATACACGGAGATTCTTGAAACAGGAGACGCAGAGGTCGGTTATACACGGTGATCCTTGAACCAGGAGATGCATTTGTCTGTCATACACGGTGATCCTTGAACCAGGAGATGTACATGTCTGTCATACACGGGGATCCTTGAACCAGGAGACGCAGAGGTCGGTTATACACGGGGATTCTTGAAACAGGAGACGCAGAGGTCGGTTATACACGAGGATCCTTGAACCAGGAGATGCATTTGTCTGTCATACACGGTGATCCTTGAACCAGGAGATGCAGAGGTCGGTTATACACGAGGATCCTTGAACTAGGAGATGCATTTGTCTGTTATACACTGGGATCCTTAAACCAAGAGACGCAGAGGTCGGTTATACACAGAGATTCTTGAACCAGGAGACGCAGAGGTCTGACATACACGGGGATCCTTGAACCAGGAGATGTACAAGGTCCGTGATACACTGGGATCCTTGAACCAAGAGACGCAGAGGTCGGTTATACACGGAGATTCTTGAACCAGGAGACGCAGATGTCTGACATACACGGGGATCCTTGAACCAGGAGACGTCCCAGATTCAAACCGATGTGTTGAAACACCAAAGCACATGTCATCTACAGGTTGACGGTGGCATGAGAGAATGAACCTCAGAACACCGTGGGAACACGATTTGATTTTATTCCAAATGCCCTTACGCTGGAATACAACTCGTACGTCAAATAATCCGACTGGAGACGTGGATCTCATGGTATACAAATGTACCCACATTGAAACTTTGTGTTTATCTTACGTTGATATTGATTTCACACTCACGCATGACAGGATGCCACTAACTGATGAATCCAAGGACAGATAACTCACATCAGCAACCTTCGTGTAACATATCCTTGAGTTGTGCTTGCATGTTGTACATCCGCCCTTGGTGCTTCAGAACTTCGTCAATGGTCGAATTAGGCTGAAGTTGGTCACTGCTACTTCTTCTCGACTGTCGGGCAATGTTATCGAATGACCGTCTCCCGGCGTATGGTCGTTGAGTTGGTCTACGGTCAACGACAACGTGGGGCTCATTCGCAGTGACGTTCACGGTGTCCGTGAAGCGTACGGTCCGTCCTTGACATTTCTTCTTGTGTTCAACGTACTGCTGCACCTCACTCTCTAACTGGAGACTTCTCCACGGGTTGTAGGCAGGATAGAGTCTCTGAACGCGGTACACTTCACCAACTAGAGGCTTATAATGGGGTATCCTTGGGTGGAATGTTTTTCCGTTGCCTGGTTGAAAATATAGCTGCGTACTTGATGATCGGAAGCTATCAGCGGACTTTCCAATTGGTCTTGCGCCATGGAGCACTGTCCCCATAAATCCTATATGAGGCGAACTTGATGCGATACTCGGCGTTTCAGTCTCCCTTTCACTACCGTCCTCGGAATAGGGGATGAAGTTGGAACTGTGGTCAGTTTTGGCTCTATTCTGCAGTTCATCAGCAAATCGGTCGGATACAAGGACGTTTGATTTACTTCTGCAGAACCAGGGAGGAATCTCCGACCATTTAGCATATTCCACAGCATATCTTGGGTCGATGTAGTCAGACCCCGTCACAGAAGCCGGTAGGCAAGGGGCTGTTGCTTTGGGGGCTCGGAATCTTGTAACAAACGGTCGTTCACCATTTTGCAATGGTCGAATGTTCATCGTGGTGCTCAAAGCCCGCTCTGAAACTCGAGACTGTAGTTTCCTGGTAAATCTCGTGCCAGGAGCGAAAGATATTCTCCCAGTCTGTACACTGTACGTCGCTGACGGGTACTTCACCAGACTTTGGGGCGATGGAAGATGCCTCGATCCGGCATCCATGGTCGCTGAAGGTTTCCTCGAGACGACTGGAGTGGACATGATGTGAGCCTCTCGTTAACTACAACTTCTACCCCTCATCACTCGATAACTTCAAGCCGGGACGGCCTGCACAGCTCGACACGACTACAAAAGCATGATATAAATTTCAACCCGACAATACACACACCTATTCAGCCCCAACGTGGTCTACCTCACCCGGCACTGAGTAAGTGAAATCTAATGATCTCATAACAAGAAAAACAGAGAATAAGTAACGCGAATGATCGAACTGAGTCTGCCATTGTCTCGCTACACACACAGTCAACGAAAGGGAGGTAACTGTTGCTGGTCGGGTATGTAATAAATGTCGATTGAAGCAGACGACAGTTGAGAGCGCCCCCTAACGGCCCCGTGTAAACAGTTCCCGTCATTTTCATTATGCCTTTATCCGTTTCTGATAAGATTCTTTCTAAGCTCCAGTTAGGATTTCTTCTTAAGTTCGTAATCGCCTTGTTGGGTGAACAATTGTCGATTCATGTGCGAAAAACGAGCATAACAGATTACTGTGAAAGAAAAATCTGATTTACAAGAGGCCATACATGCTCGTTATTGAAACGGGCAGAGTGAGATCGTATAAACCAGTAGGTCTTACATGTTGTTGTGTGCGTATTTCATTGGGGCCATTGTACCCAGTTGATTAAGTCAGATTACTGAGCAAAACTAATCACTTCTATATTACCCTTTCAGTTTCAATTGTTGGTTTAATACATTTTTGCACACTTTGAAGCCATAACGTAAAGCGTTACATTGACAGAAGTCATTCATTGTGCAGATCGGCTAAAGGAATGTGGGGAAATGCGAATACCGAATGAAATGTTTGTTTGTTTGTTCGTTTAACTCCGGACTCAACAATATTTCAGCTGTATGGCGTGACCAGATAATCCAGTGATTGATATTCGGCGCAACGATCCACGCTGTGGGGGTACGTGACATCAACCGTGACCGCCCGAGCCACCGTCACCCAGTCAACACCCATACGTTGCAATTCTTACACGAAATCCCCCGGGTTTCGAAGGGATAACATCAGATGTGCGTATGTTGTATTTATGAATAACCAGTCACAACGGATATCAAAATCTGTGTTTAATGCCATCTAATGTCCTACTAAAAGTTTGCTAGGCACAAAAATCAAAACGAGTCCATTGTATTTTGAATCGTGAGTGAACGATGCACACCAAATACGCCTCAATGAAATCTGATTTCCATCGTGTATATACACACAATATTAGTGACATTGACCTTTGATGCAACATCCTCGATTGTCCAGGGTATTATATCACCATTTTATTATGGTAAATACCCTGGACCCACGCCACCATAGGTTTGTTACGGATGTGACGTCACCATTTCAAAATCATTTATCACTAACTTGAATGGACATAATGTTTCTCGCACATGAGTGTAATTTGATTGGACGGCTCTTTGTCATTTGGAATCAGGCTTAAAACGAAGCTATATTTCCGAATGGATCCGGGGTATTTGTCATAACAGAATGGAAGTTGTTTGTTTGTTTGTTAAACGCCGCATTCAAATTAAGTATGTTTGTTTCATAATTTGTTCATTTCAGTTTCAGTAATCTTGACATTCTTCATTGTAGTTTAACGCCGCACTCAGCAATAATCCAGCTATATAACGGCGGTCTGGAAATAATCGAGTCTGAACTAGGCAAACCAGTGACTGACTTCATGCGCATCGATCCATGCAGTTGGGATACGATGACATGCCTCAGCCAAGTCAGTGAGCCTGACCACCCGATCCCGTTAGTCGCTTCTTACGAAAAGCTAAAGACCAATTCTAACCCGGATGTTCACGGGTCTCCTCATTGAGTAGCATATACGGTTGATATTGGCCGTAAGTTTAATATGGCACGGCTGGTATAATTCATAAGTAGACAAACTGTGACAGAACACGCATATACATTGTGTCATAAGCCGCCTGTACAACAGGGCGGCGAGATGAAACGGGGTTTAGCGTCACGTTCAAGATTATATAGCGACATGTGTGTGTCCGTTAGTGTTTGTGTGTGCGCTGCATGTTCTAGTCCGGACTAATGCCGGTTTTATACTGCTTGTCCACTGAGAATACCCCACTCCGACAAGGTATACCGACTCCGAGCTCCTCTTATTGTTAAGCGTCAGACAGGCAACAACAAGCATCATCTTTAACGTAACGTATTTCTACTATTAGAGACCGCCTCCGTGGTCTAGTGGTAGAGCGTCCTCCCTGAGAGCGGAAGGTCCGGAGTTCGATCCACAGCCGCGTCATACCAAAAGACGTGTACAAAATGGTACTTGTTGTTACCCTGTCTGGCGCTCGGCATTAAGGGGCTAAAACAAGGACTGGTCGGCTCGGAGTCAGTATACTGTGTCTGAGTGGGGTATTCATGTTAAACTGCGGCATGGTATCTCAGTGAGCTAGCACTATAAATCGGCATCAGTCCGGACCAGTACAAGAAGCCACACACACACACATACACGTGCATACACGTCGCTATATAAGTGCAATAATCTTGGACGCGACGTTAAACCCCATTTCACCTCACCTCTACTATTAGACGCGTAGGACCATGCGTCTCCTGGTTACCCGGCGTATATCCTATATGTTGAATATTGGCACAGTGGCAACTCCCTACCGTACTGAATCCCAAATTTTAGTAATACAAAGTGTACCCCTGAAGGAAACGGTCATAAATAATGTTCAACATATCACAGTATTAGAGACATGGCGTCTGATTTTGTTTCTTTGTTGCTTATCGCCGCACTCAGCAATATTCCAGCTATATGACGGCGGTCTGTAAATAATCGACGACTGACATCATGAGCATCGATCCACGCAATTAGGATACGATGACATGCATCAACCAAGTCAGTGAGCCTGACCACCCGCTCCCGTTTCATGGCGTCTGAAAGAGGTCCGGCTTCAATTATGTGAACAGATCGCATGGTCCCTCGTCAAGTAGAGTCCGGCGTATATTGGAGACCAGGCGTGTATTGGTTCTAATAGAGGAAATACGGTATTTTGGTATTCTGCTCTCCAAGCACTCCACCACAAAGCGGTCTGCACATGAAACACAAGTCAGCATAATATTTATATGTTTTATTACACCTTTCAGAGCCATGTGCTAGTGCAAATTAGAATTAATAACATGAATACGATACTGTTGATATACGAATGCACCTGACATTTAAATGATTCACTGCACGATTGTGACAGCATTGCTAATTGGACTGACAATGCTAAAAGCAAGCGACTGTAAACTTGACAAAGGTGATGAACAGTAATTGTAAACTACATAAGGTACTCTGTATAAAATAGATATATAATCCTTATATACTCGAGCACAGAAATAACGGTCATCATAATAATTTAACGAAAAATGAAAATAAAATATGATGATGATATTGACTGTATGGCTTTGCAGTGTGACAGATGTCCTGTGTACACCTATCAAAAACAGGGTAACTTTATGTCGTTTTTAAGCTACTAAAGTTCTATGTTTTACCAGAAACCCAGTACATGTATACACATTAAAAGAAAGTAATAGGCAATTATACAGGGCATACAGTAATGGTACGAACACACCTTAATTGTTTTATAGCCTGGTGGTCAAAGAAAAAATCAAGCTTCAAAATGTTCTTTCCCTCTTGAACATATTGAATGAAACTAACCAATCATTTAAAAGAACAAAACTTGCAAGGCAGAATTCGATATGAAATTTTGGATTTGGTTTAAACTTTAGAAAGCGTATAGGTCCTTATTCGCCAACACTGTTATACATTAAATCTCAAAAAGAGTTTTGAGATACTCTTCTCAATATTCGTAAGAACGTGGCCGTTTTTAGGTGTTTGAGTATATAAGACTTTAATTTGAACCACAAAATGTTGACTACATACATCGGTGTTATTTTACACGTAAACAACATACAATTGGACGACGTATAGTTAAACAATTCTTAAATCCGTGTGACGAAAACATTCTTGGCTCTTAAAAACGCCGTACAAATCCTACCGCGATGGCATTTGTCAGTTTAGACCTGTCATATTATGAACTGTATGTTAGAAAATGTCGTCGTCAAAAGCAACTACCCTGCGGGGAGCAGGTTGGTTAGGTGCATTCGACGATGAGAGCCTCGTCTCAGTGTCTGGTACACACAACACCGCGGTCTGGTCGTGGATATACCAGGTGACGTGGGTGGAAACTGTCCCAAGATTGCAGCGGGGTTAACCCACGAGGTCACAATGCAATAAACCAGTGTCATTGTCTTGTCCTGAATTATAGGCCTGTGTCGTCACCTAGTGATCGAGGAGTATACCACCGCTGTAGTAAAGTTCGGCATCGCCCTATCTCACATGGATCGACGAGTCGTAAAATCGGTGAAGACCTACCTACTCTTTATGTTTTATAAGCTACGGTGTTGATTCTAAGCATTTAGTTATTTCCTGAATTGGCACACGTAAGGTCTGTAAGCCATTCTTTCTCAGCAAGGCCTCATATGGATTCCGGATTAGAAAAGGTCCCGGGCAACCTGTTTGCCATGCGGGGCAACTTAATGATTACGTGTCATCGTAACCCGGAGGCGTGGGGCGTTGCTCATATTATCAACCACTGGTATGTCTGGTCCAGACTCGATTATATACAGGCCGACGTCATCTCGCTGGAATATTGCTGAGTGTGGCATTTAACAGAAAAGAAAGAAATCGCTGATCATATCGTCCTGTAAATTACGCCTGTAAAAAGAATTACGCCCATTTTGTGTGAAATGCTTGTCGGGGGATTAGAGCGGGGGCCTCGCAGTGGAGTAAGTGTTAGGATCAGATTTCCGTCTGCCTGCTGTCAACAAGAAACCCAGAGAAAGGATATCTTCTCGAAATAGGGATCTATGCGATGTTGCTGTGGTACGCTTTCACGACATAACCCTTTCTTCAATTATTCTTGGTTGTGTTGCCGTTTTCAAATCAGTTTTCGTTCTATTAAGCGGTCGTAGCTCTACGATTATCGTAACTCCTATGTACGACTATCGCAGTGGTGAAAGGGGTGGCCCTGTTGTCTAAGGTGCAGTAATTCGCTGTGCAGTAATATAACTGCGATACTGTTCAAAGCGGCGTTAAACCAAACTCACTCACTCCCACGCGAAGTGCCGCAACCACCGAACTCCCATATACGAATTCACCTGCAAATATTGGTGAACCTGAGTACGTAAAAAAACAGCTATTGTAGCAATGTTTCCTCACGCAATCCTGAAATAATTTCAACACAAAAATGAAGTACGATTATATACATGAGAATACCGTGCTACACGAGGTTAAACTGCCACGTTTTCCAACTTTTAAAATAACATTGTTAATTTCCAGTTTCTTTAGCAGTGAGGTGGACACAATCTAAATCCGAATGCCTTCTAGCATTGACGCGACGTACAATGTAATTTTGGGTTTGTCATTTCTGTACTGTCTCCACAAGACTAGTTATAGCCGTGGGCGTCAGGAGGCCAAACGATTCTCCTTTCACGGAAAGTCTAAGATGCATGTAATCTACCCAGGTCATTAGCTTGTGAAACGATTGACACTTATTGAATCAAGTTGTGTTCGACCTGCAGTGTGATCTTATGTGACAGCTTATTGAATTTACAATTACCCACACACTCCGTATCAGTGAGATCATAATTACTAATCGACCTTGATGTCACTTGATTGATGAAACCATACTGTGCAGCCAAAATTGGTCAGAAAGTAGTGTGTTCTTGTTTCCATGCCAGCCGAAGATGACAAGTCGGCTGGTTTGATTCAAATCCTTCAGAACCCACACCTTCCCTTATCTAAAAATGTGTGATTTATTCAACCAGCTAATGATTACCCAATATCATACGACAAGTCTCAGTTTCACACACGACACTGATAACAACGTCTAGACAGACTGGAAATGGGTACCGAGTTTGGAGCAGAGTCTTCAATGCTGTTGCTTCTGTCACAAGTAACAGCCAGTTGCCTCAGCTCAGAATGTAGTATGTACTCCTTGACTGTGACAGCAAGTTGTGTGGGTGATTCTAAACCTACTCCACTTTTCTCCCAACAGAGTCCTCAGGAGCACAAAATGTCACATCCAAGATTCTTCATGAAAGAAAATTAATTCTGTTAGAGCTACACTCATCATGCATGTTCTTCCAGCAATCCAAGGACAGACCATTCGAGCTGACTTGGTATTACTGCATTTCAAAGGCATGCAAGTTGTTAGGTTGTTAGTTCCTGTAAATGAATAAGAAAACCAGACTCAGGTTATGTGTGGTTGGCTTTATTGACAGGAAGACAATATATACAAATGCAAAACACAGTTGACATGACGATCCTCCTGCACAACCACATATCTGTTAGTTAATCTGGGCCAAGGAGAAAGTGGTCATTTGAGTGACAGGAACTTTCAGAGACCAGCTGAAAGCCCTGAGACTAAGTCACTACAAGATGGTGCCATGTCGGGAACAGTTTCAAAATCAAGTAGCATGCTGTCACATCTCAAATAAAGGCAATTAGGACATGTCTCAGACTTAAAAAACTAATCTAGATTACTTGGGCAGTTTCCTTCGTCACTGACTGACTGAATACTTAACATACTTAACATACATTACCCACAAAAATAAGCTTGCAAATGTATCCTGTGCTTTCAGCTTTTACTATATACACTTTTTAACCACAGGCCAAAAATTACTTTCAACAGCAGCATTAAAAGTATAGCAATCCCAACATGGCAATCTTTATGTTTCTCCATTTTCGTTTGAGACTTTGAGCAGAACCAGGGGAGCATCCAAGAATGGTCAGGGGTCAATATTTTGATTTTTCATAATTTGATCATTAATTTACTGTTGGGAGAAGAGCTAGTAAGAAAGGGGATCTACTTCGTGGAGTGAAAACCCGTTTCTAGAGACAACCAAACAACCAAAATCCTGGATGCCCCTCTAGACTTGGCAGTTGAAAATAAGTGAACACCATTATGTTGTAAAAGAAATTAAGATACAAATTTCACAAGACAAAAAGTGGTAGAAATATATAAATTTGATGAGCAAAGCATGCAAGCAAAATCAAATAAAGCACCAGGTGTTGACACACAATTTCAGGACTTGGGGGTGAGACAACTTTAGCCTTGGCCCGGCATGAAGCAGAGAGCACTTTAGGATGATTTCATTTGAATTTTTGAAACTTAATTAACATGATGATCTAGAGCACCAACTAATCCTACAGTCCAACTAGTACCCTGTCTAATGTAAGTTTGCATGGAGCTGATGATGCCATTTCCAAACAGGTTTTAACTTTTTGGCACAAACATTTTATCGGATGAGGATTAGTTTATTAGTAACAGTCTAATTGCATCAATGACTTCAAATACTACCACCAAATATTTCAAAGTATAGATGCTACATGGCAGATTATTGTATTGAAATAATTTCAGGCTACACTGAATTCCTTGAAATCTACAATAAATTAATCAAAGTTATGATTATAGACCAACAACTAATACATGACAACTAACCATCAATGATAACTAATGATGATAAAATCAAGGTACGTCTCGCTGCTTCATGAAAATCTAGCAAAACCATATACGTGACGATACACTGAAAAGGGTGCGGTTTACATTTCTTAACAAGCTAATGATTCCTTTATAGGGTATTCACAACCAAATCACCCTTTTCCGAGCATCTAAATAGTAAATCGTACAAATAACTTCACAGTGTATTCACAACAATCTAAAACTTATCTTAAGACAGTTCTTGATATCACTCTATACAACAACTATGTAACAAAGTAAATTCTCACAGAGTGGAGTGACAATAATTTTCACAAAACTTTGCACCGTAGAAGAAAAGAATAATGTGTCATTTGATATTCCACAAAAAACTTCCTTTCACATGTATAAAAAGGATATAAGACACTACAGTCTAAAATTCAATATTTAAAATTTCTAAAGACACACTATACCAAACCGGAATGTCAACAAAATGTACACCTAAAATCTTCAAGTCTGGTATAATGCTTTAGAAACAACTGTCCTCTTTCGTAAGATAATTATCACACAGTGTACAATAATTAATAATAAGACTCATAATAATAATAATGTCATAATATGGACCAACGAGAACAACCAATTGCAGAAGGGACACAGGTGCGAACGAACACTTGAATTTAAGCAGGCAGACACACTATGAAGAAGCAACACAGGGGATATCTACAGGATAAGCTGCAATCGGAACATGACGGCGGTTCGTTGGATACATAGTGATGAGACCATTATACTAGATAGTATTCACATTCATCAGTCAGCACAGTCGATCAGAAGCAGTAATGATACCACTTTCATTTCAGTCCAGGCCCTTTGGGCAGCACGCTTTGACTTTTTCAAATGTATCGACTTTGTGAGTTGTTGGACCAAGCCCAGTCGAGCGCATATCTTTGACTAAATTTCACAATTAAAGCCTTTTAGTTCAAAGAGATTTTTTTTTCAATATAATAATAGAATGGTCTCTCAAAATCCAAGATTTGAATGGTCCCATTCCAAGTCTTGTCCATTTGTTGGTACCTTCGGTGGCTCTTCGTCAGAACTTTCTCCGTCATCGTGGAAACTGCTGCCATCGTCGTCACTGTCAGATTCGTCTCTCAATGACTGCATTCCATTATCTTCATAATCAAAAACCTGAAAAGGGAAATCAACATATAGAACTGACTGCCTTCCAGACAAATGCAAACAAGAGCCATCAGAAGATGACATGGTTTTCACCATTTTGCCTCAATTTCAGAGACAGTGATAAGAAATGGGCTTCACACATTGTGAGGAATCAAACCTGGACCTTCGGCATGACGAGAGAACACATTTAACACAAGGCCACCCAACCGCCCCTTTAAACAGGGATGAGAATGGCTTTTTGAAAAACACACTGAAAGTTTGCCTGGGGGGGACCACATGATTTATGTGTATATTGTAATGGCATGTTTCACAACACTGACCCAGAATGTAACAGAATCAGAGGAGATTCTTGGAACATTATCATCCCAGTTCATTAAATTGAGATGAAGGAGGCAACATATAGCCTTACTTCCAGCCATGTCCTGTAAAGCATAAGACGACAAGATAATGTATAAGATGTGCTTGGGGACATTAACAAATGTGTATACCAGACAGAGAAAAGGTACAAATAAATAGGTTAGAGTTATCTCCCCTATACCAGTTGAACCTCAGTGCAGCTCACCTCTTGTTCCATGGGGTTGACTGTGATGTTGAGTGCCGAGTTGTCCCATTCCATCTCACATTTTTCATCCACCTGCACGACCTGGGTACGTCGGTGCGCTGCCCGGATGCGGATCACTCCCAGGATGATCATAAAGAGCAGGAAGCCCACGCAGACAACAATGATGGCTGCCATGCCGAAGTCTGCAAGATGCATGGAAATATTCATAATAAACTGGGCATTGACATGGTATTCCAAGTGGTTATTACCAATTCCACTCGAATACGAATTGATCAAAACTAACTGTTACGGACATTTTCAGTTTTCATATCTAAATATGTTTGTTGTTTAACGCAACCACACATTAAAATTCCAGCCATATGGCAGTTGTCTGGAAACAACTGGAAAATGATAAAAGAAGTCAGCGAGCTTGACCACCCAATCCTGTCAGTTGTCTCTTACGTCAAGCATGGGGTGCTGAAGACCAATTCTAACCAAGATCTTCACAGGAATAATTTTAAGACTTAAATTCAATCAACTTCAAAGATTATGCAAAATTTTAAGTATCTATTAAAATGAAGAAAATTAATTTAAGTAATCGTGTGCGAAACGGTTTTCTACTTACTGGATGAGGTAGCTACGAACTGCTGAGCACTGGCCGATTTGACGTTCTCTAGGGCATTCCTGACTGGGGCGGAGGCTGCAGCCTGCTGGGCATTAGCGTGAGCTTTGACTTGGGGCACCTCGTGGACAGCAACCAGCTGAAACATTCAACACAATGTAGCCTCATCTACACAAACAGCAGACTAGTCTCTACATGGGAAGTGTTTGTTTCTTTACATCAAGTGTGTATTTTGTTAACACTGCCATCAGCAATCACAGCAAATTACATAACAGAATACCTCTCTTTGATAGACATTTAGAATTTGGAAGAGCATGAAGTCATTACACTTTTATGGATAACAACGTGACTAGAACATTTCAGGGCTACTTCTTGCCCCTTCATCCGGTGAATCTGATAATACCTATTCACCTGACGATGGGAAAAAAAATACCTCTGAAACATTGTTCACATCAATAAAGAAGTTGTTTGTTTCTTTGTTGTTTAACACAGCATTCATCAATATTTCAGCTATATGATGGCGGTCTGTCCATAATCAAGTCTGGACCAGACAATTCAGTGACTGACTAGGTATCAAACCATGCAATTGGGATACCATGCCATTCATCAACGAAGTCAGTCAGCCTGACCGAAACGGACTATGATTTATTGGCAAACTCAAGGTATCTCAAAATGCTTTTGTACGTATAACTGAAGCAGACTAGCAAAGAAAATATTGGCAGTGAAATGAGTTAATGAATCAGATATAATTCATAAAAAACCTTACCAAAATAATGAAAACAGCCAAAGAGTTCATGTTTACTAGCAGGGATTATGTCGACAAGACAATTTTGCTGTGAGAATCTATATTTCAGTATTCCCTGGCTGTTGCGATTCTTGTTAGTGCATGAAGGGGTTGACCAGGGGTTTAAATGATCAGCTTCTGAGCTCTGCCACTCCAGGCAATTAGGTCAAGGAGCCCTCCAACAATAGGCAGGTGATTAGGTGGCTGATTGACACAAGCTCAAGCCCTGACACATGCCATTATGTAGCACACAGTCCTGGCTTTCAGAGGGCTGGCTACTGAGTCTCCACTCAACACTGAGTGACATTTAACAATAAGGGCACCTGTTTGGAGTAAGACAACCAGCTAATGAATCTAGGTGAACTGAAGTCAAAACTAGTACGAGGGATTTATCAAGGATACAAGACGACTGGTAAATACTCTTGGCATGCACACTGGGAAAATGTATTATTTCTTTAAACTCCTGATTTTCTCAGGTATCTTAATTTTGTAGTCAATGCAATCATGTAAAATTCAACCACTTCCTCTTTATTGGTGGTGTTATCAGTGTGACATAAGTCACTGAGACCAAGCCATCACATTAGTTTTTCCTATATTAACACTGAGAATTTGGGGATAATAAAATAAAATACTTAAAAGTTCCAACGACCTAACTAAGGCAGGCAAACAAATAACCTTCTTGTGGATACCCGCCCACGTAGGAATATACGATAATGAAAACGCTGATAAAGCAGCTAAACTATCCCTCAAAATCCCAGAAATAAGCTTAAACTTACCCATCTCAAAATCAGAAATTAAAAGTGTAAACAAGCAAAAAATCACAAAAAATGGCATAACCTATATCTAAACTCAAATAGCCAAATCAAAAAAGTGCTCAGCAAACCACTAACCAAACCAAAAATTCTCCATCCATCCAAAAAAATCGACAGAGTAATCACTAAACTCCAAACAGGACACACCAACCTAAATAACCACCTAAAAAAATTTAAAAAACACACTACAGGTAACTGCCCACACTGCAAACAACGAGAAACCCCAGAACACGCACTCATCCACTGCACACACTACCTATCACATCGAACCGCATTACAAACCACCCTCAATCTAAACAAGGCTCTAACTCTAGAAGCAATACTAAACCCACAAAATAAACTAGAAAACTTCAAGGCCTTAGGCGTATTCTTAATAAAAAACGGAACTAATAAATCGCATCTAAAAACACAATAACCTACCAAATCAAAATCACAAAAACAAACAAACATCCACCATACCCAGCTCCCATAGTTCTCCTCCCCAATCCCATCGGCATCTATTCCATCTCAAAATTCCCAAATTCTATATAAGCAACCCCTAAAACCCCCCTCTTGGGTTGCACAGACCACTTTCGCCCCTTTCGGAAACACATTAAATGGCCTGGCCGGGCCCGTGTGCGAAATACGCATCAGTCGGAAAGTGCACGTTAAATCTCCAAAGTAAGTAAGTAAGTAAGTAGGGGATAATAAAGGACATTTGCTGCAGACTTGAGGTTGAAGCTGGTCTAGAAAAAAACATGAGTCCATTTTTCTCCAGTCCATAAGAGTTACAAAGGAAACCGCTGACTGTCAGTGTGGTCTTATGCCGTTTGTAGCAATATTTCAGAAATATCAACGCAGGGGACACCAAAAATGGGATTCAGAAAATTGTGGTGCTGACTGAGAACATGAACGGTTTTCCTTGAAAGTTGTCTTGAACAATGCGTTGTCTATTACCTATTGAGCAATAATATTACTATACGGCTAATGCAATCTGATCATTTTGCTCAACTAAAGCTCTGATCCTAAGAATTAATAAATCTATAAACACTTTCACTTTCTTACTGTTATTTCTGTACAACAAAACATTATTTGCTCAGTGTTCTTGTGCACCAACATTTATAAGAAGGGACCTCAATCATATAAACAGAAATGGTAAATTTTGAACAATAAATTATCAGGCTTCATTCTCAAATTCTGAAGTGTCTTCTATTTGTAAATATTTACCCCACTGCATTAACGCCATTGAAACATTAAGTATCCCAATCGGGTAGAAACTAACATTTTTAGTCCACTAGTCCTTATAATGATAACAAGTAGCAAAAGCCTTATATAGGGCAAATTTCTACTTTTCCTTCTGATACCTTAACCATTGGGCAGATTGACTAGGACTACAGGACTACAGGACTAGTGCCAATTTCTTTTGCTGCCAATACTATGAAGAATCAGACAAATAAATCTGACTAGATAATGATAGTTGGACTGAGAAAACCGCAGCCATAACAACTTACGCCTAAGATTACATCAGTCTACCCAAGGACTTGTCTACTAGCCCTAACTTGCATCCATTGTCAGTAAATGTTAAGCTAAAGCATTTGGACTTGTGTCACTGGAGTCAACAGAAAGAAATTCCCCAGACATCATAAGATGCAATTAGTCGTAATGTCGCGTTTATGATGACTGCACTTATATAACATGTGTGTGTTTGTACTAGTCCAGACTTATGCCATTTTTAATATTGCTAGCCCACTGAGATGCCAAGCCGCAGATTATCATGGATACATGGGCCACTCGGACACATTATACCGACTCCATGCTGACCAGTCCTTGTTTATCCCCTTCTTGCCAAGCACACTAAGTATTTAACAACAAGTACCATCTTTCAACGTCTTTTGGTATGAACACCTACCTCCCGCCCTCTAGGCAAATGCTCTATTCACCAGACCAGTCAGGCGTCCCCTTGACAAGGGCTTCATACAAGAGGATAAACTCACAGACTTTGACATGACTGGCAATAGCCTCATGGCAGCCACTGAACAGGAACAGAGTTACAACTTCAAATCTTGAGTTAGAATTACCTTGACGGTGAACTTGTTGGAGACAAATCTCTGGTTCTGTGAGGAGCAGGATAGAGTCAGTGTACGACTGTTAAGGATGTCCGGCTGGTTGTGGTAGTAGTGGATGTTGCGGATCACGCCAATGTAGCGCTCCATCTTGTCAGCATCTGCAAAAGAAACAACGTAAATATTCCCAAACTACACCTAGTCTTTGAAGATATGGCACTTTAAGTAAGAAGCTTGTCTACTTGTGATTCTTAATTTACAGACAGATAAGTATAAGTATTTTCTCTACCTGTAAGCTGAGCCTGAGATCGCTAGAGACTCCAAAATTGTAGATTATTAACAAGATGTGAAAAGGACCCCTAATTTCAAACACTGACTACATTATCATCACATGACAAAGACATAAAACCATCAGCATTATTTGCTGCAATAATTAACAAAAGTTGGAGAAGACAAGCCAGTTTCCTGAAGGTGTACACCCATGTACAACAAAATCAAACAGGGCCTTACATAATCAAAGTGCAAAGATGAGTGGGTAAGTCTATGTTAAAGTGTGGGGCTATTGTAAGTACCAAGATGGCTTTGTGGAACAGGGTACAATTCCACAAAGCAACCTTAGCACTAACCTTAATAGTAACTTCCATACTTAAACATAGGTTTACGATCATCGTTGCTCTAAGATCACTTTGAGGATAGTGGGTCCTGATCCCAGGTGTTTTCAGTAGTTTTCAGCTCCCAACTTGATCACAACTAATCCCCATTCAAGTCCCCTCAATTACTGAGTGACAACTGCACCACTTGGATGAGGCGTTGGACATACTTGTGACAGTAACTCCATCGTTGGTTTCGCTCCACTCCAGTCCCAGGTTCTCCATCATGTGGGTGGGCAGAGACAGGTGCTCATAGAACAGGTTGAGTGGAGGGTCGGCCTGGATGGTGCATGAGTCAATCAGAATACCATCCTTCAGGTCGGTTTTGGCTTCAGTGGATTCTGGAAATGTTTACGAACACAAGTCAGATCAGTGAGTGAGTTTTGTTTAATGCTGCTTTGAACAGTCAGAGCTCCAGGTAACTTTTTGTGCAACTGAGTTTTTATTCTCGAATTTCTATCTTAATTGGGTTATTACATTTTTCATTGGGTAACCAATATTTTTTCACTATCCATCACTCTATTGTTTTTTTTCAAAATTTAGTGAGCTTTTTAAGATTTAAAAAAAATGAAATAATATTTTAGATGTATATAACTGTTCTAAATATATAGGCTTGAAAGTAAATTAGGTCGTAATTGTGTTTTGGAAATTAGCTCTTTTGTACGCATGCTAAAAAAATTTCATTGGGTATTTACGTGAGCTGTTTTTATGCATTTGAGTTCTTCATTTAATGCATGCGTTTCTGTACACAAGTTGATTGAAAGTAATTGTGTTTTGAATATTTGGGGTGAGGGGGGGGGGGGGGGGGGGGGTATTTTATGCATATACACTGCCTATCTGTAGCTCAGACAGTATTAGTTATATCAGAGCTGTCAACTTGACGGGGGAGGAAATCCAGAAGAAACAGTATGTGGCGTTTGCCAGTTTAATGAAACACACAAGAGGGTGTGGCGCTGACAAACCTGTTAATATTATCAGCATAACAAGTGGTAGAAACTAAAATGTTTAGTCAGCTATATATATATAGCAAAACACTTAAAATGATAAATTTCTACTAATTCTTATGATACCTTGAATTTTGGGTAGTTTGGCAAGGACTACGGAAGTTGTGCCAATTTCTGAAGCTGACAACTCTGGGATTCAAAATTGTGAATTTCATCACCTTAACAACTGAGCCAACAGTGCCCCTTCAGCTTTTCAGAACTTCACAAAAGACATTATCTTTCTAATCTAATTGATAGAACTGTTTGCTAAATTCATTTCTTGAAGATCATCATATTAAGCTTTCTAAGAGATGCAGCTTATTCTTTGTCATGTAGATTGTTCAGTTGAGGTGACTACTTACGGTGCACCATGGACTTGGACAGTTTGTAGGCAAGTTTGGAAGCCTTGTCCTCATCGTCTTCCAGAGGTTCCACATCAACGTCGTCCTCCTGCTGTGTGGCGTAGATGTGGACGTCCTGGAAGATGCGGAGACCCCGTTCGAACTGGTAGATTAGTCGGGTGAGGTTGGTGTCGCCGCCGATGGTGATGATAGGCTTGGGAGGCTCCTGCACCATCACGTAGCTCTCAATGGTTGGCAGCTGCTTGGGAGCTCCGTCACAACTGCACACAAGAACCATTGCCACACACTGAATGATTCATGTCACATTGCAAACATATCCGTCTTATGAGCTTATTTTGTGAAAATAGTCTGATAGATTCAAGATATGCCAAGATCAGGGACTTGTACTTTAAAGTTGAGTGAAACACCATAGTCCAAATTAGTGATGTTGCTTTTGGCCTACATCACTGTGTCCTCTAAGCAATTCTAGTCATTTCTTGTCCTACATGTTGAGGATACGAGCCGGAACTCAGCTCTAAGCATAATTTTCTGTCAATATTAGTGTATTATATTGGCTAATATTTCTAAGCTTTCAGTGAGTGAGTGAGTATGTTTTTATGCTGTTTTTAGCAATATTCCAGCAATATCAAGGCGGGGGACACCAGAAATGGGCTTCACACACTGTACCCATGTTGGGAATTGAACCTGTGTCTTCGGCGTGACTAGCGAACGCTTTAACCACAAGGCTACCTGACCGCCCCTTCTGAGATTTCAAGACCAAACTGAATTTTACTAGACTCGGGCTTCGAACAAGTGTCTCAACTTGCAGATTGACATGATCCAACACGTTTCTTGAAGCACATACAAATATCTTAAAAAATATGATTTAAAAAAATGTTGATGCAACAAACATGTCTTTTCCCATGACATGCATTCCTACACTTGTTTAATGTCACTGCTACTTCAGACCCAGAATATGAAATAGACCACGGTACATGTGGATCATATCTGTGAAGCTACGTGTATTGATGGGTGAATATTCCAGTACTTACACAACAGTGGTTTCGACTTTGAGGTTCCTGCGCCCGGGAGTTGGGTATGTCCTGGCGTTGACATAGGTCACCTCCCGCATCAGTTTCTCCACCTCCGTGACGTCACGGCCGCTGATGCTGAACTCTGTCATCTCACTGTTGAAACTGACACTCTGCAATGACAAATAAAGGTCAGCAATGAAACGCTGAGAAACATATGCAGTCAACATGGAGACTAGCAGAACATGTCACCAAGATACAAGCAATGAGATGCAGGTGGCAATTTCCTTCATTTATAAAAGACACAAGTTACAAACTTAGCAAAATAAAAATACTTTCTTTCATTTGTATACTTATTCTGTATTACTCCTTAATGCATTTACTGGTTTCTTTTGAAAGATAAATGGTGCTGTGTGAGGTCCAGCTGCAGAAGAAGTTGGTCCAACCAATTGTGAGGCAGACTCCATCACACAGAGCCCAAGTGACCACACAGATTATTCGACACAACTTGTCAGTCTGGTGACAAGCAGGAATGTGAAGATGCGTGAGGTCTTCACTTCCGTGGTCACATGGGAGCTGTGTGATGGAGTCTGCCTCACACCTGGATGGAACAACTTCTTCAGCTGGACCTCACACAGCCCTGTGTTTTCTGTCAAAAGAAAGCAGTAGATGCATAAGTCAAAAATTGATATTTACGATACAGAAACACACAATCTCTATTTACCGTTCCACTCTGCATGTCATTGAGGGCATGAAAGTCAAGGTTCTCCTTGCAGTTGTTGAGGCACTTGATAACCCGATCGCTCTCTGTCTTGTCCTTCAGGAAAGACAGACCAGCCAGGTAGCCCCGGAAGTGATGCTCATATCGGTTCTCTCCTCCTGCCAAACGATAATCAGAAACTAGATACAACACCTGAACAAGGCAGGAAGTAAACAAGGCAAGTTCAGTTTTTATTAAGGTACACAATCAGATGCCTATATTTCACAGAAAATCACCTTCACAATGCATAAAAGACACTCTAAAGACAAACAAAGATCTAAATGTCTTGACAATAAGCAGCAAACATTTCAAGAGTAATATTCCAAGAGTAACAATCCATCAGTAACAATCCATCAGAAACAAAATAGTAACACACCAACAGTAACATTGGTGAGTAAGTGAATGTGCAAGTGAGTATGTTTTTATGCCGCTTTTAGCAATATTCCAGCAATATCCTAGGGGGCACCAGAAAGGGGGTTTCACACATTGTACCCATGTGGGGAATCAAACCTGGGTCTTCCTTGTGACGAGTCTTGTTTGTTTGTTGTTTAACGCCGCACTCAGCAATATTCCAGCTATATGACAGCGGTCTGTAAATAATCGAATCTGGACCAGACAACCCAGTGATTGACATCATGAGCATCGATCCACGCAGTACAATGTACAATGACATTCATCAACCAGGTCAGCAAGCCTGATTACCCGATCCCCTTAGTCGCCTCTTATGACAAGCACAGTCAACTTTTACAGCAAGCATGGGTTGCTGAAGACCTATTCTACCCCGGGTCTTCATGGGTCTGTTGTGACAAGTGAACTCTTTAACCACTAGGCTACCCCTACGCCCCATTTCAATGGTAACTGATCACCTTTTAAACCAAAGGCCATGTGTGTGCCGCATTTGAAATCGAGCCAGAAAGTCAATGTTTCCTTGTAATAATGACCCAAGATTTGAATACTATGGGGGTAAACCTCAATGCCCCCAGGGCCCCCTTAATGTGAGCCAGTGGTGTGAGATAGGGCAGGAGCTTACCCTGCCAACAGGCCCCGATGGTGAGCTTGGTGTAGTGGACTTTGTGGGAGGAGTGAAGTGGCCAGTCATCAACAATCTCCAGACTCATCTTGTCGGGGATCAGCAGTTTCCCATCAATGTAGAGTCGAACCTGAAGAAAAAATGGTAGAGATATTATAACATAATTCGCAATCACAACAGAAAACCAAAGCACAGGAAAACCTTCAAGAGGGCACTGAAATTCACATAGCCTATTTCTCTAAGAGTGAGTGAGTGAGGGAGTATGGTTTTACACAGCTTTTTTCAATATTCCAGCAATATGACAATATTGGGGACACCAGATTTCACACATTGTACCCATGTGGGGAATCGAACCCGGGTCTTCAGTGTGACAAGCCAATGCTTTAACCACTAGGCTACCCCATAGACCCTATTTCTCTAAGAACTTCCATTTACTACATGCCAAATGTTAAAGACTCCATTCAAAATAATGCAGGGAGTTTGGATTGTTCGTGTCCAGTACTCACCTCTGGGAAGTCTACACTGATGGCATAGTGGTGCCATTCTCCATCATTGACCTGGGGGATGTGCCACCGCCACTCAGCGGGCTTGAAGATCTCCATCTCCTCTGGTGATGTGGCTTCACGGCGCATCAGGAACACAAACTTCTCTCCATGGACAAACAGGGAGTAGTGGTGGCGGCTCATATCTGTCACAAGCAAACAATAGTAGGATGACATTCTGACTTCGGCCTTCTGTCACCATTCAAAGAATTCTCTCTTCCCAATACACTATACAACATTACCAAGCCATCAAGCCCAGCAAAAGCATGACAAATTACACATAACACATACATTATTGATGTAGTATGGTAAATAAAGCTTGGAGGTATTGAACTTGTTCAAAGATCAATGTTGTGTTAACAAGTAATGGTTCGACATAAATTTGGAATATTTGACATGCACTTTGTGTACGTGGCCATAAATATTAGATTGCTTTTTAAAACATAGGTTGCACTGGTGCATGTTTTACAAAACTAAATCTATGATCTATGATTATTATGAAGCAATAACTTAACTATAAACTGACAGTGATACAATATGTAGAATGTCATTGTACGTACTGGTCCAGTAAAAACAATTTCTGTCCAGTAAACTTAGCTAAAGACTTCTTTGGGGTAATATCTACTTAAACAGAAGCAAAAGTAAACGTACAAATTCTGGCTATTAGACTCAAAATTTTGTCTCAGAATATCAGGGCTACATGAACTTGTCCACAGTTCCATTCTAGTGGTTTGTCTAACATAAGTTTGTGATGATAAAAACAACAAGTCCTTCTAGATTTCCATAGTCTCCTATTACTGGTGGCTTCATGTCTCGTCCTGAAATCTGTGAGCTCTTTCAAGTAACTGTGATTTAATTCTACTCACGTTCACCATCAGACATGCAGAGCACATGTTCCTTGGGGGCTCGGTGCTGGGAGGAGTAAGTCTCCAAGGGCTCATGCTTCATCCACGTGGAAATGGTGAAATGTTCATGGATTGTATGGTTGAAATGTACATCCGGCACTTCTACGGCATTGCTATGGCCATCGAAAGAGAAGAGCTGGTCACTTTCATGTCCATCGTCGGTGGGCAGGTTGCGAGTCCATGCAGCCAGGGAAGGAGAGGGCAGTAGGTCCACACTTTCTCCACTAGCACCTGCAGCAGACACAACATAGTCAGCATCTCCAGTGGGGAGTTACAATACAACGCAAGCAGGTGTAGAAATTAATTTAGAAATTTAATTCATGTTGGGCTTGGGGACATGTTAATTTCAAGGTTGTGTGTGTGTGTGTGTGTGTGTGTGTGTGTGTGTGTGTGTGTGTGTGTGTGTGTGTAACAATAATCAAAACTGGACCATACAATCCAGTGATTGATATCATGAACATTGATCTACACATCTGGGATTTGATGACCTACTGTTGGTAGACAACCAAGGGTTGTTGAACATCAAGTCTAATCCAGACCATTATGGGCAAAACTGAATTGAACATATGTAGAACTACATTTTAATTCCACATCTAAAATATAACATCTTTGCATTCATTGGAATTTACGACACAAGATACTGAATAATTTTATGCATAACCTGTATGTAGCATGACTATGCTGTGTAAGGCCTCTTAGTCCAAGCATAACGTAGAAAAGGCACAAATATGTTTTAACTAATGACAGGCAATTGGTGAGTTAATATTTATTTTGCTACAGCTGGAGAATTTCTTGTTTTCTCTTTTTGAATCGGGTTCATAACAAAGCAAGGGTATTTATCACGACAGCTCAGGGATACACATTGGATAATACTTAATAGAGGATGGTTTAATGCTAAAGAAAGCAAACCTTAGATACACATGGTTCAAACAGCACTTCTTCATGATAATCATGATGATGACAATACTGTCAAGTAGTATTTGAGGTCATTTGAGTGGTATTACACGTACCAGTACAGATAATAATCATTGCTGTCATATACCATGACATATGTAATGACTAAACCCTGATCCAGACTAACAACTATCTCATGGATTTATCAAGGATTCCAAAATAAGCACCCTTGGCAGGAATATTCAAGGAAAAGAAATATTTTGATCAAACTTATTAAGTTCTAATTTTTCATAATTACAGAGGCATTTTAACTTTGCATATAAGACTGCATTTAGAAGATCTCAAGGACCCCAGGTGAGTGGAGGTGAAATGGGGTTCAACGTTGCTTCCAAGTACCATCTTTTAACGTCTTTTGGTATGATGCAGCCGGGGATCGAACCCCTGACCTTCCCCTCTCCGGGCAGATGCTCTACCACTTGGCCACGGGGGCGGTCTTCAAAGGACCCAAGGACCCCCCCTTGATTTGCACACTGTTTTTTTCCTCCTATATCCCATCATGTGTCATCGACGTACATTTCTCTGTCATCAATCAAGTAAGGTAATCATGTCAACTGTTACCAGGTCTATCATGGTAGATATTTCACAATGTTCAGGTCGAGTTTGATATCTTTTTTTCTACAGACCTTTATATTACTATTCTTAACTGAAAAAACAGGGCAACTTGTTTTTAACTAAAATACTCAGAAAAGAACAGTTACCTATATCTATTACCTCTGAACTTTGAAAGTATTCACAGGTTTAATAATTTTAGAAAATAAGAAATTAAAGGTTTTTACACTTAATGCAAAATATTAGAATACTTGTGTTCTATTTTGTCACGAACAGTGGACAGTGGCAAACACCACTAAAAACACATTTGACTATGTTTAGCCAGAAACAAACTGCTCAATAGCTATTTCACTTCGTAGGTAACATGGTTAAGAACTCAACGCTAGTCTGCAAGCCAAGGGCTATTACAAATTTTCCTATTGTTTTAACATCACAAGGATATTTAATCTTACCTGGACTTGTAAAGCTTTCGAGGTTAGTTCTAACCCTGCCATGTCCAGTGGGGATCATTTTAGAAGTTATTCCATGATACACTGTTGTATATCACCATTAAAATTAAGTCATGGCAACTTTTTTGTTCATTTCATTTACCGGGCTCAACCCTATTCTATTAGCATGTTTAGAACTTTTAGTTGCTAACTCAACAACAACTGCTAAAGAAAATGTTTAATAAATATTAGGATTCCACAAAAACCAAAGAATGTCCTTCTAAACATGCTAAAAATGAACTTCAGATGGCTAAGAAGCCTATGTGTACCAGTGTCTTAACTGTGTTCAACTGTGGGACGAGATGACCCCATTATTCAACAATAACACTATAGCTCCTGATGAGAGCCACAAGGACGAATTTTCAGAACTGACTTGGTGTAACGTAAATGGTATTAAAAGATCATGAAAACTTTACTTAGTGTTACTCATGTAGGATAGGATAGGATACTGAGACTTTTCACATAAATGATAAATTAAATGTCAAATTTAAATATATTCATATCCAATGTTCAGTATCTTTTTCTGCATCCAATCCATGCACTTGTGCATACTGGATGCACATATCCGTGTAGTGAAAACAGTTCATAATGTGATGATGATGAACACAGTTAATATCCTCATCCATCATTTCACAAGAGAAAAAAGTTCAGTTCCACAGTTAATCACGCATACACATCAAAGAAAACAATTTGGAATCCTGACTTCTTCAAAAATGCACAGCCAAATACAAAGAAATCTGTGAAAAGTCAACAAATATTTTGCGTATTCTCAGAGACAGATTTTCATCAAATGAAATGTGTGTTCCACGAGAAACAACATATTAAGGGAACTGAAACAGTGTCTGCTCAAAGTAAATCCAACAAGTTCAACACAATGTCCAGCTACCCAACCTGGAACAGGTGATCATCAGGGTTTTACGCAACGCACACGTGCATCCAGTACGCACAAATGTTGAGATTGGATGCAGAAAAAGAATATACTGTGTCCCGGGAGATGCACAATAATATCCATTGTACCTACAGCACATCAAGGGTAGTAATGGAAGGTCATTTCATCTATTAATCTTGACCACTGTCCACTTAATCATTGATTCATAAAGTAATTATCAAAACATACAGTACACAACACCATTTCTTTACTTTACAAGACCCTCATACTGCCAGCTAGGACCCTCAAAATAATTATCGTGGTTCCCTGGACCCCCACTTTTGTAAGTCAGGGCAAAAAGCCTGCGTTCATGTGATATGATCATCTTTATGTCCAGTGTTGTGTACTTCACGTTCACATATTATCCAGTGACTTTCAAATTCACGTCAGTATGTAAACCATACAAAGAAACTGTACAGTCCATCCTCCTTCACTAACTAAATAGTTGTTTACACCTTCTATTGTATATTGTTGTTTTGCAAAAAATTCAATGAGTTGGGGGGGAAAATATTTAAATAACTTCAAATTCCAGATTGCTACTGCTACCAATGAACGAAAAACAAACTTCTAAGTCATGCCATCAGGAGAGTATAGCAAAACGATACCTGAAAAAACAGATTGTTTGTTTTTTAATTAAAATTTGTAAACATATTATACACCATTTCTTGTAAAACGGTTGGCCCCAAAACAACTCTAAAAAGTTTTAGGGTTTTTTTTCTAATTTTCAATTTCTTTGGTCAGTCGGTCTTGTAAACCAATTATTTGAAACAAACAAGACCTTAGCGATATTGCAATACCTCTCTGTATTGACAATTGACATAACACATTGACTTGTAGAAGTTGAATAATCAAAACTACAAATTATGAATGAAGTAAATTGTCTGCAAAAAAAACATTTAGAATAAAATTACTGCTCAGTTTAAGTAACAAATTTGGGATATGCATTGCACAGTGACCTTTTGACCTCCAACATGTTAGATTCACCGGTTCTAATGAACATAGCACTGTTCTCAGAAACAAGAGTCTCACACAACAATGAATCATACTCCACCACTTCAACATACTTATAACAACATATAATCCAATTCTCTCCAGAGTGTCCTGTTTGATCCAAGGAGAACACAAAACACAAGCCTCCATATCTCTCACAGGCCATTGATCAAACATATTTCCATCTACCATGATAATACTTACCACAGAGCTTTCTCTGGGATGTAATAGAATATGTATCACGATCACAGCCCTTGCCGATATGTTTTGTTGCTAGGGTCATCCTTACGGCTATTTTTTCAGGTGTGCATCCCTCTTCACAAAGTTGAAGACGAGCATGATCGGCAATTTTTTGCCTGCCACTTCCTGCGACATATGGGATATGGTCCCGCACATCTTGCCAACCACTACGGCATAACTCCTCCACCACAATGTTCACGAACACAGGTTTCGATCTTTTCTTGCCACAATCGCTGGCTACAACCTTAAGAATGTAATTTCGGTGAATATTAAAATCCAAAGGCTCTGTGTTTTTAAGATTTCCCTTATGATCGATTTCAAATGGAACCTCTGGCGTAAGGATTTCATAGTCACAGATTCCCTGGTAATCAGCAGATCTGTCTCCATCAGATGCTCGCAAGGACACGATGCTGGTGTACATCTTGCCTTCTTGCACAGTGGCAAAGTAGGAGGAGTTTTCGAAGGTTGGGGCAAACTCGTCAACATCTTTAACTTTGATCAGAACAACAGCCCTGCAAATAAAAAACACAACAATTAGAATAGTGGTCAACAATACTGCCTCAAGTGTTTGATTTGTTTGTTTGTTTGTTGTTTAACGCCACACTCAGCAATATTTCAGCTACATGACGGCGGCCTGGAAATAATCGAGTCTTGACCAGACAATCCAGCAATTGCCATCATGAGCATCAATACACGCAATTGGGATACGATGACATGCATCAACCAAGTCACCAAGCCTGACCATGCTGACCACCCACCTGTTACAACAAGCATGGTCACCTATTACGACAAGGATGGGTTGCTGAAGACCTATTCTAACACGGATATTCCCTTGTTTCAACTGTTTGAAATTAAGCCTGAAAGTTAAGGCATCCTTGTCACAACCCAAGTTAAAGATTTAGAGGGTCCCAAGATTCAAATAGTAAGGGCACAATTTAATTTCAAACACTGCTGACAGATATCCTGAACAATCAACGTTGCTGAAGCTGTAAAAGTCAATAATTTTAGTATGTACAGACATAACTTCTGCCACAGAATGTGTATCACAAGCTGTTACATGTAAGATTAGTGATACACCATTACTAGCATATAAACAGTCCTGGTCCCATTGTATGGCAATGAAGAGTAAGGATCAATTTCTCAGTGAACATGTGTTTAAAGCTGTCATTCTGTCCGCTCAAACAAATCAATGTTTTCAGTTAGCATAGCATTATGATCATGGACAGGTGGATGAATACTTGCTGAATCGGATTAGGTATTACATGAGTTTGAAAAAGCAATTAGGGATCAAATCATCGATCCTGAACAATGAAAACAGAAAATTTGTACATTTACATCATTGTCATTATCCTTCATTGAAACAACCAGATATTGAAATAGCAAAGAGCTTAAACGATATTATACAAGACTCTGCAAACCAAACAACTCAACCAGGAAACATTGCAAGAGTAACAGGCCTTGAAATGTCAGACATCAGGGCTCAATTTAGTTACATAAAACATGCACCAGTGCAACCTGTAATTGTACAATGCAATCTAATATTTGTGTCCACATGCACAAAGTGCACGTCCAAATCTTTCAAATTTATGTTGAACCCTTACTTGTTAACACAACATCGATCTTTGAACAAATTTAAAACCTCCAAGCTTTATTTATCATACTACATCAATAATGCATGTGTTATGTGTAATTTGTCATGCTTTGTGGGGCTTGATGTCAAACTGTGGGTCCTTCAAGATCAAGTGCACGTTTCTGTATTGAAATTTATGAAACCATGGTACAACCTGGTTTTGTCTGTTGCAACAAGGTTTCATGTCACCATGCACCTGGTGCAAGTTACATCAAGTTCCTTACATCGACGCCTGGACATTGTTTCCTTCATGTTGTACTTAGTTTCCTCCATAAATTCATTAAATGAAACAACAACAAAATATGAAGAACTATATTAATCTGAACTTCACTTAGTTAAATCAATCAAGATTTAAGTTGACATAATTAGGCCACAATAAATTAATTTTCATCTAAAAAATAAAATATCTGGCGGGTGGCATATAATTGTTTATATACAAAAAAAGTATACTATTATCAAGACATCTGTGTACTTTAACTAAGGGTGAAACGATACACCTATATTCCGATGCATCACGATACGATATACAATAAACGTGGGCCCATTTATCGATACGCCACGATACGGAACGCAAATCTCAAGTACAGCGTTTCCTCGCTATTGTGCCTTTCAATAAACCGCTCACTTGGTTATAGCGCGCGGTAAACGCATGGCTCCCAAAAACGTACTTAAATTTTTAATAAGCTCAGGTTTTACACCGACAGATGTTTTTCCCCATCTCATAAAACATTATCAGCTGATCCCCGCAAGCACTTAACAATGGAAATACAAGTCAGCAAGTCCGAACTGAAGTACGCAATTCAATACCATTATTATACTATCTTGTTATTAAAACGTGTTCATTATATATCTGGACTTGTGTTTGTAATATATTTTATTAATTTTACTCAAAATTTCATTTAATATTGTTTTCATTAAGTTAGATGAAATCGTGTGTGAAGAGATACAGCAACCACGGTCAGATTACCGCTTTTGACGCATTGAAACGAACTTTAGTTGCTAGAGAATGGATACATATATGAAAAAAGGCCCTACTTTGACTCGTCAAAAGTCATATTTGTGGCAATTTGGCTAATATATGTCAACATAACGTTTTCGCAATCGAAAAACATGTAGCACGGGAAGTCCCTAGGGTGACTGGTCAAATTGTTCCATACGTAAAAATATCCTGCAACAGCAATCACCAGTACCAAAATGCTACACTTGTGGTTCTTATAATTTTAAATATATATATAGTAAAAGCTGCAACTAAGGTAACACGATATTGGAATATATTATTCCTGATAAAACAAAAAATTCACATACAATTTCTTCGACCATTGCATCAAAATTCTTTGACGTTGTATCACTGGTGGAGCACATTAATTATTATCTGGGGTTTGAACTTTGAATTGTTTTTAAGGAAAGTTAGAGAAAGTTCCACTTTGAAGCTGAACAACTTCAGTAGTCTAACGTCAGTAGTATAAAATAATTTTGACTCTTCCAAAATCACGAAAGGTTCAATCTTGACATGCTTTAAGTCTTGTTTTTTTATCATTGCGTATCGAGATACGTATCGTATCATGACCAGAATATCGACATGATCGAGATGCGTATCGTATTGTGACCTTCCTGTATCGTTGCAGCCTTAACTTTAACCATCAACTGACTTTTGTTCTTTGTTGTTTAATACCGCACTCATCAACAGTCCAGTTGTAGACAGTGGTCTGTATTTTCTTATACAGTAAATAATCAAGTTGAGACCACTCAGACCAGACAATCCTGTGATTGACATCATGAGCATTGATCTACACAATTGGGATAAAATGACATGCATTAACCAAGTCAGCGAGCCTGACCACCTGATCCATTAGTCTTTTTTAACTGAAAACCAATTCTAAGTTACCCGAATCTTCACGTGGCACCATCAACTGATGTCATTCACACAAAGCTAGAATGTTTGGTATGTGTACTGTCAAGAAAGGGAACACAGCAATTTTCTTTGTGTGATGGAATTTGGGAACAATAACATTATGTGATGTGGGGTGTTATATATTAAGGAAAGCACCAATGAAAATCTACAATTTTATTATTATTATGGCCTTATGATTATCATATATAATTTGGCTATGCCATAAATTGTAAAGAACAATGAAGATGTTTGGTTTATTTGACAATAAAACATTGTTCTATCATCACATTTCTTGAGAATCTATTGCGGGAGTCATCATTATTCAAATACAAGTAAATTATTTTAAAGCTTGTACATTTTATCATCATCCTTAAAGATGTTGTATATAATGTTGATATCTCATTGAAGAAATAAACAATCCAAATCATTCATTTCTTAAATAAAGATGATATCATGTACAAGTGGATTAATAATCCCTCACTGACAATCACAAGGTATTATAGTACATCTCCACAAAACCATCTGAAGATCCTGTCCTAAACTTACTCAAATTCCTCAAATCCTTGGCAAATTCCCAATTCATGATAACTCAAGTCCAGAAATAGATGAACATGCATCATTTCCTGCATCTCATCATCCCTGATTCAGTCACGTATCATGTGAATTTATCTGATGACACGACACATGCAAAACTGGTATTACAAGGCACAGAATCTTGCATCCTTCTCACATCAAAACACGAAATAGATGCTGATAGAAGAAAACATGCATCCCATGGGACGCACAAAATGCATCAACTTGACATGTTGATAGTAGCCATGTTGTATATTTATTTAGCATGTGTAAGCAGCATGCAACTCCTGTCATGCTGAAATGGCATGTTACGACTATTTGCAAAACATGATGTCCTCGTCTGGTCGTACATATGGTAAATTCAACACAACATGGGGATGGATCTTATATCACAATGTAACAATTGAGGGGACTGGGAGTGACACTCACAAAATGTAGAACGATCGACCCACAGATACATAACTTAGTGTAAAAATTACAAAGTCAGATATATTTCATGAGGGATTGGAAAGAATGACATTTTAGTTTCCGTAACATTAACTACACACACTAGATGCAGTAACACTTCAATGGGTTTTTTACCAATGTTAGTTTTTACCACAGACAATGTACCCATGTCCAAAATTACAGGGGTTGCACTAGAATACTTCAATCTTGGGATCCCCTTAACGTTTAACATTGGGGTTATTACAAGGACACCTTGATTTTCATGCTAAATTTCAAACACTGCATTAGATTTAGTAATAATCCAAACTGGTACAGATTAGGGTGAATCAATACAGCAAGGTCACGATATGATAGGTGTAGCACAATGGTACGCATATTTATGTTAAATTGCATGGAAACTTCTTGACAATAAATATCTAAGAGAAGGTTCAAAAAGTAAAGTTAGCTGAAGACATGTTAATAGCGGCTATTTTTCGATATGTGACTGACAAAATCCCTGGGGGTCAGAAGGAAGTAATTTATTTCAGCAAGTGCATCATCTTGTATCGATACAGAAAAATCATTTCACCCTTAGTACTGATGGCCATGAACAGTTTCCTGATCCCATAAAAACGTCACAGGAAAGAGCGAACAGTATCCAGTGGTTATATGAAAACTTACACATCAGACAGGCGGGGAGGGTTGCCACAGTCCTTGGCAATTATTTCAAACTTGTAGTGTGAGCGCTTCTCAAAGTCAAGCCTCTCCTTCTCCCTCACTCGGATCTCGGCTGCACCAGTTGTTTTGTTCTTCAGCTCAATAACAAAAGGGATCTTTCCTCGCTTCTTGCTCTTGAGTATTTTATATTTGCAGATGAGCCCTGTAACAAAAAAAGAAATTTCTATATCTATCCAATAATTGTTTCAAACTTTTTTTCACGATTCCGGTCATTAAACCTTGTTCACACATATTCATACAATTTCCTAAACATGCACATCTCAGATCTGGTTTCAAATTGCATGCCAAGAATCTCTATGCAATGCAGATCACCACTATGATGCAATGTTAGAATACTTCTGGATGTAAGAATACAGGAATCTTACAAAAACTCCCCAATTGGGACCAATTTATTTTTCAGAATTTGACCACCAGTATAAATCTAAAAATGATTGCTTACTCAGTCACAGAATACCTTTATGGTTTGAAATCGACAAAACTGTGATAGCAGATGAAAATATTTTATCAAAGGGTTTGTACAAGAAAACAGTTGTATGTGATTATGTTCAATGTTGAGTGCTTCTCAGTTTCAATGTTAATAAGTCTGTATCTCATTATGGACTGGTGGTTGATGTAAAATAACAGATTTTAGCGAGAGAAAAAAGAAGTTCCTTCAGATTTTCCCTAGACTCAGACTTACAGACAAGGGCCATTTCTGTCCTTGTTAATATCATCAAACATGGCTAGCATGGCTGAGGATCATTGCCACAGACAGAATGGCCACTAAGGAACAGTGCCAGGTGAGACCCATCTTTCCCTGTCATATCTTCTACTTACTTGCTCCACCGATGCTGTCCTCATCATATGCCGACAGTCCAGGTCGGAGATCAACTGTTGTCTCATCTTCCTGGATCTGACCTCGGAATAATGCAAAACCTCTGGCATTTACTTCAGGAGACCTTATCACAGGGTCGAACGCATTTGGTTCTGGAAGTAAATAAACAGGGTTTAGTGTTGGGAACAAATCAAGACTGATCATCACTTTGAATCAAATGACAGAAAATTGACTGTCTACTTTCTATTTTGAGTCCTGCAATAACTATTGACAAAATGTCTCACAATTTGTAGAGTAAAAATAAAATTGATCATTAATGACATTAGACATGTTAGGTACTCAGATCCATCTTGAATTGTTTACTCATCAGAAAATCTTAACTTAACCAGAACGTTACATTCCAAAAACCAATAATCTTGATGATTCAGAAATCTGCTATACAATAATACATGCTTGGACAAATAAGCACAATGAAATAATTATCTTGTATCTACCAGCCAGACTGAATTCATGATTAGCAGACCAATAATTTCCGTAATGTCAACCGTGAGCTAACTCTGAACACCTATCTTGTCCCATCTTCAAACAACATTCACCTTGTTCAGGATATTTGATAATATAAATGACTCCTTAATCATGTTAATATTTCTCCCTTGGTATTTTTTTCACAAAAGCCAGTGCCAAAATAATATTGTTTGATAATACATGGTTACTAATATTTTGGAGGTTTTCAAGCAGAAAAACTACTTTTAAGACTACTTGAAAAGTAAGTGATCAATCCTCTGATATGTGTTTATCATGATGCACATGTATCATCTCGATTGTAACCATGGCATCAATGTCTTTATATGAATGATAATATGACTCTGCATGTTCACTGTTGCATCCCAGCCCTCGTCCTTTAATAAATTTATAATCAAGCGAAACAGCATTAATAATTAAGTTCACTGTCTGCCATGGACATTAGCATGATTAAAAGTACTTTAATGTTGAGGGGAACAACAATTATTTCAAACAAAATATTTATTTATTGACATCGTCAAAACACAATTTTGCATAATATTTTTAGCTTCAAAATCATATCGTGCATGCAATGTTTGAATATATCATAAATAAACTTTTGAGAAGTCAAGTATAATATGAGAATAAGCAGTATTATTTTGGATTTTCTTGCATAAAACATGTAAAACTCGAAGTCTTTTCAGACAAAGGTTCACAGAAAACAAGCGATTATCAAGCAGCCATCAGTGATGCTTCCCTCACCAACTATCAGATTTCTGACAGTGTGTGGCCTAGATATAACTTGCCCCCTTATCTCAGAGTTCTGCCAATCACTGAACTGGGAGGGCTTGTGCAACAGGCTTCTTCTGTCGACACTACTGATATTGATAAACAAAATATAACATTTCCATTTCGAGACAAGTCCCTGTCATGGCTTGAAGCCAGTTTTTCAGAGATGGATAAGAACAATTAGTAAACTGTAATGAGGTCTCGTATTGACCTGTCACAATTGTTCTGTGCCTTAATCACTGTTTGTGATACTGGTCAATATGTACTGGAGCCTTGTGAACATGGTGAAGTGATGGGACAGATGCATAAGGAGAATCAGCAAGTTTTCATGCAAAATCAATAGCCATGTTCGTATTACTGGTAAGAATGAAAGTCAATGGCCAAAAGCCAATCCCAGACAAATTCTGCGACAAAATTACCAAAATTCTGTAGTAAAAACATAACCATTTCCCTCTTCAAAACCAAGTCTTGTTTCCTTGATTCCACATTTGAAAACAGTAGAAGAGGAAAGGTTCTTTTGAAAGAAAAAAAACAATTTCTATAATACACAGAAATGTATTCATCATAGACTAAATGTTAGTCTAGGGGTAGCCCAGTGCCAAGAATTAAACACTGTCAGAAAACTTCAAGGACCCTTCGTCATTTCCAATGTGGACTTCAAATACATGTACTGGAAAATAGGTTCACAATATTCACAATTACTGTACTTCTTTCAGTGTTCAATATTCTTCTCAGTTCATATTTTTGTTGTATTAAACAACACAAACAATAAAAATATAATTCCTCTGGTCTAACTTTATAAAGGTGCAAGATTGCTGATGTGGTGTTAACCAATATTCACTCACTCACTGGTGTAACATTTCTGTGTATAGTATACTGTATACCATACTGCTGTCGGTACCAGCTAAGTATGATAAGGGGACACGTTTTGCAGGGGGAACGGCTTTGGATCTGAATCCTTTGTAAAGTATTTTCACTTGAGACTGAGCATGCTGACAGCATGGTGCGTGGTCCATTCGCTGTCAAATTTACCAATACCTAAGTCTCTGAAGATTTCTTAAAAACAAAAATAACATCAACTTTGCTGATCACTGTAATCTGTATTTAATCATACTCAAGTATGAAATTGATCATATTTTTGAGAATGCTCAAACGATGATTCATCAGACAAGGTAGAAACAATGGGAAATGCGACATTGCCAAATCTGCTTCGAGGGACTAGGGAGGGCATCAATGGTATCTTGAATCAATGCATTCTCACAGCGCTTCTCAGTGTTCAAAATTAAGAGGGATCCTGGGTTTGAGGTTTTCTATGGTATTTGAATCTAGGGACCCCCTAAATATTTGAATCTAAACATTAGGGTTATGGCAAAGGGCCGTTGGACTTACGTGCCTACAATTTGCCTCTTGTACCGGGAATAGTTACACATCATATCTTTTACATTCTCAAAAGAATGTAGATTAGTTGTTTCATACAAAGGAGTGTTTTAATGTATGTGACCTATTTTTGGCAAGATAGTGTGGTATACGAATCCAGTCAGCAATACTCATCATGGTCAGTAAAACAGAAAGAACATGTTCAAATCATGAGAATATAACCATTTTTGTTATCACGGTCCAGTGTTTTTTTATGTATTAACAAGTAGTGGGTATGCTTTGCTTTGAATAGTAGCCTCATTGTCCTCCAAGCTCAATTATCACCTACCTCCTTAACGAACTTGAACAATTGTTTATTCAATTCCGACAGCTCTAGATTAGCTAGTAATTAATCTTTATCCTGAATCCGAGCACAATGTGACCAGTCAACCAGTAAATAAACAATGAACTACCATTAGAGCATCCACAAATCTTTTGTGTAATTATTCACATGGGGATTAAGATGAAGCCAGATGTAACTTTTAGAATAGTTTTATGATAAAATCTTTCAAACCATAATATTTCACAACATAGACAAAGGCTTATGGATAATATCTGCTGCAGTTTCCAGTGGTAGAAACTAACATTTTTAGTCCCCTAGTCCTTATAATAACATATAGTAAAATCCTTAAAAATGGCAAATTTCTTCTAGTCTTTATGATACCTTAACTATTGGGCTGTTTGGCAAGGACTACAGGACAAGTGCCCATTTCTAATGCTGAATTTCCAGTGTCCCTATTCAAAGTTTCTACATCACCATACTTCAAATCATGTAAACATGCAAAACATTTATCACAAGTCTGTTTTCAGAAAGATAGGAAATCAAACCAATTTCTACATGTTTCCAAACCCTAATCATTTTGCTAATTGGGATTGGGGGTAAATATGTCGTGCTCACAACAAATTTGGAGTTTTCCCAATCTGCCCATCCTATCTCGTGTTTCTCGAACCACTGACACACTGAGCTTCTGAACCTAACTACCAAGGGAGATTTGCCGGATAAGTGTAGGCTCTACATCGAATCATAAGCATATTCAGACGACCTTCCCGTAACATCTTAATTTTGTCATACACAAAGAACGTCTCTTTGTCATGCTAAAAAACAACACAGCACGTTCCACCGGGAGCTAACACTGTAGTCAAGCAAAAACTGCGCATCGTCGCGCCATCCTCTCCTTTTGACATTTCACAACGAACGATGCGGACATTGCTTTATTCCATTGAAAAGACACTGCTTTTGAGCGTATCCATTAATGTATATTCATCCACGTTGTCACAATCCTGACATATATGACAAAATTACTGTTATGAGAAAAGCCTTCGGTCAAATTTGTAGTATTAATTGACACTATCTCATTACTCATTCAGAGAATGTGTCAGACAGCCACTGTAGAAGAATCACACACATGTTCAGGAATGAACCACGATACTCACCTGAAAAACCGCAAATTAGCGGCAATAATGTCACTAGAACACATATTATCCGTATATCCTCCATGTTCCTATGTGTTATATGTACAACATTGGCTTACAGTCCGTAGAAACGCCAACTGTAAATTGGTAACCAGATTTTCCCCTGTGCACAAATAACAAATATGGCTGACTGTGCGCGTATGATAATGAGATGCGATGACGTAAACAGACTTCCTGCTGCGGAACACACAGAATTCCGACGGAAAAACCCTCTATTGCCCCCCGATACTATATATTCGTTTGACTTATCACTACTTTTAATATTTTCATGACGCTGAGTTATTTTTGTAGTTGTTGCATTTACAGGGCATTGTTTGTGTTTATTCCACTGTGAAAAGCGTATTAGCAAATTAGTGCGACAGTGGTGATAGTATATTCCTAAAAACATATTTACTGAGTAAGACTTTAAGTTTGGGACAGCTAAAAACACAGGTTTACCAAAAGATATAGTCTTACTATCAGTACGCACACTGTTGCACAGATATTTATTTTGAAAGTATATCACACGATTCTTGTAGTAGTGATCATGTCAGAGTTCACGGATTTGTTGTTGTTGTTGTTATAAATCTGTAATCATAAATATATACAGTTTCTCCACACCTGCGTATAAATCTAAGCAAACTACATGTTGCCGTCTTTGTTCAAACAACAATGGCATTCAAATACATGTCACCAAGACCCTTCCTTTTCTTTCCTGGATGTTGAAACTTGATAATTTAAAAGGACCACTCTTTTCAATTCGGTTCTTCAAACAAATTATATTTTCTGCTCGTTAAAGTAACTTGGCATATCACTAACAAGAGAAAACCAAAGGTATTCACTGGGTTTGTTTAAAAAATTTGACCACTAAAATAATAAAAACAATTTGGCTCTTATCACCAAGTTTAAGAAAGGAATACATTAAACCCCACCATATACTTGTTTTTGCTTTGCCATAAATAAGATACCACGGATCTAATTATATATATCTACATTGGGTTTTTATCACGAATCGCAAGATCATGCCGTTCTTATTTTAGCGATATGAAAAGGCTGTTAGGTTAGCAGTATCTTTAAACCGGAAGTGCTTTAAACTTGCCTGCTGGGACCCAAAACTTTCTGTTTACAGTCAAAGTTATTGCAATGGAGCATCAAATACAATGGTATTTACACAGATATGTTCTTTACGATGTATACCTTATGTCATGGTTATTTGCTTCTGGTGATTATATGATTAATATAAACTTTAATTCACCAGGAAATGTTATATTTAGCCTCGAAACGTCGAATGAGTCAGATTGTATACAAGTTCCTTTCTCTCACAATCGCATTCCTCGAGTCACCAGGAAATAGTTTTATTCCCACCTTCAGAGTGAGCGTGTAATATTCCCGTGGGTGGAATGGTGGCCACTTGATCACTATTTAACTGACGATGGAATTCAAAGTAAGGGGATTCTATTGACAGTCGTAATTCTATCTCTTGTCTCAGCGATGCGAGATCGAAATGTGTCTCAACTTGTTGAACAACTTCAGAGTGAAGAAGAAATGTTTTACGATACGAATATTGTACAAGAACACTTCATAACACCTTCACTTCTGATGATTGAATGTTTATACTTTCTTGGACTTCCTTTAGAATTGTCTTCTATCATGGTGGCAAATTGCAATAACACAATCATGGCATTTGTGACATTGACAATAGATTCTATCTTTATCAGTTGTTCTAATTTTAAGATGTCGGCAACAATGCAGTTTACCGGGCATAGCCCGAGCTCTACCATCCGCTCAATTACTGCGCTATAGTGACACTGCTGTCTCGTTATACTGTTACCGTGCCTCACGCCCTGGTGACTCTCGCTTCACGATCCAACACCCGTTCTCGGTCTTAGGGAAACTTACACATCTTTACGATCCAAAACCCGTTCCCGGTCTTAGGGAAACTTACACGTCTTTACGATCCAACACCCGTTTTCGGGTCTTAGGGAAACTTACACATCTTTACAATCCAACACCCGTTTTGGGTCTTATGGAAACTTACACGTCTTTACGGTCCTTAGGGTTAGCTTGCTTTGGGCAAGGGTTAGCCATAAATTCTTACCTTTTCAAGCGTTAATCCCATTGGTCGGTCATGTTGACATAAACAATGGTGGGTGTGGTTTCAAGAAAAGATGAATGGGAGAGCAGACCGTGACGTCACACGCATGCGCAATTCATTGTTTACTGAATTACGCAAGCATGTTAATTCGGAGTTTTCTAATGACCCGTTAAACGAGCACTGTTTACATGTGATAGCGCCTGAGGTCCAGTGGTAGAGTGTCGGCTCATTTATGCATTAGCAGAGCCGGTGAGCTGGCATAGCGAGTTCGTACCCCCACTGCGCTAACTGGATCTGAAAAAGTGTGCCCGGTAAAGTGCACTACTCCCAAGATGTCTAATACTTCACAAATAGTTTACAAGAAAAGATCATGCGTCAAAAGTTGCTGGGACACTTATTGTGTGTTTCTTCCAGTGCAACTTTCAAGTTTCTATACAGTCAAGAATGTACATCAAGTAGATAGTGTCTGTTTGTTCTGAAATATTGTTTCCATTGTGGTCTATTGCACATGTAGGATGTCATTAGTTTGTCAGTGTACTGTTGGTTATCTTAGCAGTTAAGTAATCACACTCATATTTGATCGTCCAAGTTGAATGTAATTTGTCGTAAGAGTGTCCCCCTGCTATGATACATAGAGGTTATTATGTGAGTGTGTTTTGGGATGTAAATATCTTGTGTTAGGAACAGACAATGTATTTGGCAGGCCATGGCAAGCTAATATGCTTGGACAGACCAGAAACCTATGATTGTGGGTTCGAATCCCAGTTCGCCTCGATTATGTTTCTAGGTTTGTCAGCACCATACCCATGCCTGTGGGTTCACGAAGGTGGTAAACATCTAAGACCTGCATCACTTTGGACTTTCCTGCCACACACTTTGATGTAACTGGAATGCTGTTCAAAGCAGCATTAAGCCCAACTCCCTCACTCTATTTCTCAGTTACTGAATTATCCACTTAAACTTATTGTTCATTGTCTTTGGAGCAAGAACCAACTCCTGACAAATTATTTCTACTTTGATGTGTTCCAGGTGTTCATAACATGAACAGAGATGGTTTCTACACCAACATGAAAAGGAAACGAACGTAACACGTCTTCCAATTTGCCCTATTTTGACCGACCATCATCTACAAGATGGAAACTCCAGAAACAATCCCACACTTGATCCTTTTGTTTTCTGTCTTGGTCTTGGTTTCAAGCACATCAGAATGCCCTGAATCCTGTACCTGCAATCTCCAAATCTCCAAATCGTGGGTGTCATGTGAAGGAAATGATCGCTTATCCCCGGCAAAAACATGGTCCGATTTAGTGCATGTTGTGATACGATATCCCTTACTGAAACAACTTTCATACCAAAGAGGATTGACTGCACTTCCCTATCAAATACCAAGATTTGATGAACTAGAAAAGCTCAACTTATCCCAGAATTATATCACAGAGTTGCAGTCAGATGCCTTCACTGGAATGATATTTCTTCAGATTTTGGATCTTGGTTTTAATGGAATACAGAAAGTTGACGAATATGCTTTTCGTGGTTTGGAAAATCTTATGACCTTGAACCTTGTTCACAATAAGATTGCCAGTCTTTCAGAAAACACATTTGAAGATCTTTTTGATTTGAGAACACTTATCCTCAAACAAAACAGAATTACAAGTTTGCCTCAGGGAATATTCAGGAATTTGCAAAATCTGGAGATTCTTGATTTGAGCTACAATTCCTTGACTTATCTTTCTTCCAAACACTTCACACCTCTTCGGAATCTGAAGGAGGTACACCTTAACAGTAATCTTGTACAGTCATTCCATGTGGACACAGTGTCTGCTCTAAGTCACATTCCAGTCTTAGACCTTTCAAACAATCCCCTCGATTGCTCATGTGCAATGAGTGAGCTCAAGATGTCTATGGCCAAGAGGACCACCAGCCTTATCAACCCAAATGCAACTGTTTGTGCATCGCCACAGTACTTATATGGGCAGTCTATAGAAGCTGTAGCCCTGGAAGATCTCAATTGTACTGATCCCCAAATATCCTTAATATCAGAAGCCCAGGTTATACCATATCAGCAGGATCTGTACCTGCCATGCCAAGCTGAAGGTTCCCCCGCACCAGCAATATTATGGGAAACGCCCTGGGGCGACACCTTCGCCCGGCCCTCCAGTTTCAATTTCATAGGGGATGACGGCATTGGATATCATTCACATCATGCTTATCAAGCCAAAAATGTAATCCTTGTATCTCACGTAACTCTTTTTGAAAACGGAACTCTGTACATTTCAAAATTCAGGGGCTATTTTGCTGGCAATTTCACCTGCATTGCCGTGAATCCTTTGAGTAATAGCAGCGCAACAGTCCACGTTGAAATTTTTCATATTTTGAAACTTACATTTTTCCAAAGCTTGTTTATAAGTGCATATTGTTCTGGTGGCTTTTTGGTGTTTGGGATCATTGTTGGCAGTATTAAGTTGATAGTTTGTGCAATTCAACGCAGACTCAAAGCCAAGAAGGTCGAAGACAAGAAGGAGTCTGAAAAAGCAGTGACTGTTAGTGATATTGTTGTTGTCTTTGATGAATCTGATGACCGTTCCGATCCATCACTGCCGAAAACCCCTCTTATTTCTCCATACATGAGCACCCCGAATTCACCGCAAAAATGTACAACACCAACCGAAGAAGTTGGATGGCTGCCTGCAAATATATTTGACACTTTGGATGAAGCACGCTGGAGGTTACGATATGGAGTTGGGCGTCGGATGGAGAAAGTACGAAGTCACGTTCAAAACCAAGTGCAGTCTATACGAGAAAGCAGTACACTATATATGCAGAGTATCCGAGATTCTAGTAGCAGTGCAGCCAATCGAGTCCGGACCGGTATTGTTGTTGGTGTGGAGACAATGAAATATAGTGTCCAGTCAATTCGTGAGTTCTGTGGTACCGGCGACATGAGAGGACAAACGATATCAATGATATCAGTATCAACCGATATTGATACTGATCAACGCACTGAAGTCATCCGATCAGTAACATTTGTTTGAATTACTATGTCTCAACTTCTTTTCTGCTTTAGAAATACAGGTATCAGGATACATTTTAGTACATTTCTATTCAATTCCAAAGTTCAATACATAAATTTTTATTTTTTTGTATGGTCATGATTTAAGTGATATCTTACTGAATTTTTTATTTCCTTACATGCGGACACTTGCCCATATTCAAGAATGGTAAGGTATAACAGCAATACGGGATCATGTTGGTACATTTATGGGACATTAACAATTAATAATTATTTTACACTGATCACTGGGTGGGGTGCAGTAGCCTAGTGGTTAAAGCGTTCACTCATCACGCCAACGACCCAGGACCCTCATGGGTACAATGTGTGAAGCCATGTGTTGATGTCTGGTGTAAATCAAATTACATACAAAGACAATCTCTTTTATTGGGATAATTTTGTTTTCAGAGTAGTCACAGATAATTTGAAGACACTGAGCTTCAGATAATTATATTCAAAATTAAAAAAAACATATTACTGATAACCATTACAGTTAGCTTATGTATTTAATTTATTATTAACTAATATGATTAAAAAAATAATGTTTGCATAGTCAGAAGATCAATCTTCAAAGACTGCATATTATAAATACCACAGATCGTTGAAATTTATGATGAAGATCTAAATTGTGAAAAATCAGACTATTTTATGTTTTACAGGTTTTGTAAGAGTGAAATTCCATGCATAAAGCTTTTCATGAAGAAAAATGGAAATTTGTGCTTATGGGTTAAAAGCAGGTTCCGGTATAAACAGTGAAACCATGGTGACTTGAATTCTGAGACTGTTGTTGTGCAAAGTTATACCAGATCATTACCAGCAGAGTGTTGATAATAAGAAATATGATGAACTGAATGTGCAGATCTGCATCATCTGTAAAGTTGATGATAACAGCAGGGTTAGAAGGTTTGCTCATGGCTGTCATTGACAAATATGCGTACATGGTGAAGATGTATGGTGTTTTAGGACTCTGATTGGTGGGGTAGTCATGTGTTTAATGGAACCAAGTTAAAGGAATTCAAGTTACAAGTTTTCTCTGTATCATGTATACATACCTCATGTAACATATACCCATGAAGAGCTGGTTATCATGTTGTCATAGGTAGGTTCTGTGTGTCGGATCTATAAATTTTTGTCTTTGAAATCCATTGTATGTACAACACAAAAGACAAATGCTATTTTGATAAGATCTTTTGATAAATTTTCTTTGAACTGTCAAATGAATGGCAGTGATGATATACAGGTATGGTTGTGATGTGGAAATATTTGGCTATATTTTGGTAGAGTTTTTAAATGACAGTGGTTACATGTTCATGAAATTATTCATGAAATTCCAAACATAGAATAACATCTTATGGCAATAATATCACAAACTTTTATCTGCTTTTCATAGAAAAAAACACAAAATTTTCAACACCATTATGAGCTCATGAATATCAGATCTATTACTCTGATACGATACTTCCTGCATGATGATCTGATAACCGTTCAAAAAAGGTCGTATCAGGGAACTTTCAAATCACCTGCTCAACCACAGTGTTCTAAATTCTTGATGCTTATGAGTGATGTATTCAGATCAGTATGTTTGATTTCTGTATCTCTTGAAAATGGAGTTAAAGGACCAGTTCCGAACGTAAGTTATAAAGGCCATGACATCGTTTCTGATTGATTCTGATGGCATCTATACTGCATAAACTTATTTTGTTCACTATATATAAACATTAATCATTTATATATATGCAAACAAAAGTCACAATGTTATCTTTTTGTATTGTACTCTTCGTGGCACACTTGTTTTGTATACCATTCATGGTTATTTATTTAGCTTCCAAAATTTCTGTCATGTGGATGTATAATGAATGTCACATCTGTGTCCTGAATATGTTTTTGTGGTCCTTTTGTATGTGAAACTGGGACAATATATCAATGGCATTGTTTGTTGTTAATTTGATGTACACAGCTGTCACACTCATGTTTAATTACCCTCTCCAATTTGAATACAGAAACAGATATAGACTTAACATATTACATTCTTAAAAACAGATTTAGATGTAACATGTATGCACGTTCTTGCAAACTGAAAAAGACCCGTGAAGATCTGGGTAGAGCATCAGTCTTCAGCAACCCATGCTTGCATAGACTCTGGACTGGACTTTCATAGTCAGTTAATGACTTTGCCTGGGGAAGATGGCAGCACTACTGCAGGACCTTTATGCCAAGCCAAATTGATCAACACTTTACCGGAAACATACCTGTAGAACAAGGAACGTGCATGTCAGTACCACGAACACATGCTGCTAAACATTCTTATGCTATAACATTTTATGTAGTCTAACAGAATTTAATGACATCTTGTGAGATAAATGTATGTGGCATTTTAGAAGCTGTAGTGACGGTTAAGACAGATCTGTCTTGGAGATTTCAACTTCTTTGTTCTTTCTGTGTGATGTTTCGGAACAGATGCTGGTACCTTTATGAAGCAAGCACTTGATAAGGATACAAGCACTGCACCGAAACACCACAGAAGGAACACAGAAGTTGAAGCCCATCAGTCAACCCCGTCTTCTTCGTGAGTGTGAGAGTAAGAACAAATACTACTCAAAAGAAGTTAAAGAACACACAATTGTTTCATGTAACTGTAGTTGATCTGTCAGGGCAGTTAAAGAACACACAATTCCTTCCTATTACTATAGTTAGTCTTTCATGGCATGACAGATTAACTACAGTAACATGAAAGAATCCAGTGTTCTTTTGAGTCGTATGTAATGTTTTAACGTGGGTCTATCTCTTCATTAACTGAAAGATGTTGATCAACAGAGGTTGGCAATAAGACAAGATAAATAATATTTTATTGTCCCGAAAGAAATTTGGGCTACGTAAAAGCATAGAGAAACAAATAACAGGTTCATGATTTAAGTTAAGTACACCTGTCTGACACCTGGTGTGTTAAACCCTGCTTCAGTTTATCAATAAAATGGAATTGCTTGGGGACAATGAGCTTGTTTAGTGAAAAGGTTTTTAGAAATTCTTTGTCCAATTTAAAATGTGCTTGTTTCTAAACCCTATTGGACTAGATTTGGTGTTTTTGCTTCTAATTATCACATCACGTGACCAAACAGTAAGCTGAGATCTTCATAGAATGTTAGTGTTTTTTTTGTTCCCATTTGTATATTGATTTGACCTCACGTCAGACTATACACATTTGTTTTTCCCCGTTCTTGTTTAAATATTGACAGATTATATCCATAATACAAGAAGTAGTTCTTGTGTATGAGGGATGTGTAATATGTGTGGGGCATGTGGGGTCCAACTTGTATTTCCCCCACCTGACTGTATCCTGAACAACTTTCACGAACCTTAGCATTATGTTTCACGTGTGCCCTTGTCTTTCACGACTGCAGACAGCAGGATTGCATAAAGTTGTATGTATTTTTATTTTGAGATTTGCAAGTTTCCATGTGTGTGTCATATGAGGTGCTGTATTTTGTAAAGGTGTTGAAATCTTAAGGGACCAGTTTTTCAATCTTGTGTTTCTTGTAGTAAATCAGCAGATATTGATGTCAGTGTGTTTGTGTCCGAGTTCATTGTTTGCTTGTACATCATAACATTGATGTTAAGTCTCTTAGTGTTGATGTGCATGTCTGACTGAAGGATGAGACATGACTAAGATACCACAAATAATTGAGAAAATATCCAAGCAGCAACCATAGAGATGGGTGTATGTGGATGAGTTGTCCAGCTTGAAGATGTGGATCAGTTGTCCAACATGGAGATGGGTGTATGTGGATCAGTTGTTCAACATGGAGATGGGCGTATGTGGATCAGTTGTCCAACATGGAGATGGGTGTATGTGGATCAGTTGTCCAACATGGAGATTGGCGTATGTGGATCAGTTGTCCAACATGGAGATGGGCGTATGCTGATCCGTTGTCCAACATGGAGATTGGTGTATGCTGATCCATTGTCCAACATGGAGATTGGTGTATGTGGATCAGTTGTCCAACATGGAGATGGGCGTATGTTGATCCGTTGTCCAACATGGAGATGGGTGTATGTGGATCAGTTGTCCAACATGGAGATGGGCGTATGCTGATCCGTTGTCCAACATGGAGATTGGTGTATGTGGATCAGTTGTCCAACATGGAGATGGACGTATGTGGATCAGTTGTCCAACATGGAGATGGGTGTATGTGGATCAGTTGTCCAACATGGAGATGGGTGTATGTGGATCAGCTAGCCATCATGGCTGTTTTGTGGATCAGCTGGCCATCATGGTTGATAGCTGTGTGGTCCAGGTGGCAATCATAAAAGCATGTGTATATGGATGAAGTGATCTTCTTGCACCACAGATTTGATTTGATTGCTATGTATTACTCACAATGAAGTAAGTTCCTATTTATGTACAAATTGTTACTTCATGTGTCATGTAAGCTTAACAATATAACCCTAGGAGATAAGTCCATGATTTACGGTTATTAGTTTCAGGACATTGTAGCCTTAGAGATGTGTTGTCAAGTGTATGGCTGAGTACCTGAGTATTGCTGCACCCTTGTGTATCATGTATATACAGAACATTATTGTCATTATCGTTGATTATGCAGAGCGCTGTGTGCTATTTATGCAGAGTCCGATCTATTTTTTCACAGCATGTTTTATTTGTTCACATAAGTAATATATATGGAGGAATATGTTGAGAATGTGAATGAGGTCATATGAGGACATATTTGCATCATTGTTCGTCACATCCTGTTCACATGAGCCATGAGTCAGAAAACAACAAAGAGTAAAACTTATTCTGTGACCCAATGTTACTCTACATAATTCATAATTCATAATTTTGACTGAGCTTCTTCTATTGCAGTGATGTGAGAGTAGATTGACTGTAGTCTTGGTTGAGCAGATATGAATTGATAGGGAAGAGTGACCATCACGTCGCACACAGCTGGCTATATGCCTGGAACCTAATATGGATATACATTTTTCATGTTTCTACTTTTCTCAATGTAACACCATTTTCAGAAGCTTGCGCTGAAGAAAATAAATTGTCTGATGTAAAATAGCTGTATATAAGGAAAATATTCAGATAAAAATATTTTACTGATTAAAAACCTAACTTTCACCACTAGTGAATTCTTGATTATGTTCTAAAAAGAAACCCCAAAACAATAAACTTTCATCCCAAGCTAACCACCACCCATTTGGACATGTATGGCCATCTATGTGTATCACACCAAGACCACTCAAACTAAATCAGATAACTGGGAAAGTACCAAACGTTTTCTGCTATACTTTGATAGTTGATTGTACGATATCCTAAGGGTTGATACAATCTATAGCAGGAATATGTTTGCAATTCTTATCAAGATTTGCTGTCTGCCAGGGTAAGGTTCTGGGTAAGAGTTGTTATTCTGTCGGTTTGACTTATTATTCCAATTAAGTGTTGCCCAGCTGAACCTCCATTAAAAGCATTGTGGTATATTTTATCCTGGAAAGTGGTTGTATTTTCTGTATTTACTGCAACCTTCTGCCCCATGTCAGTATAGGTTATCAACAGCCATGCATTGTTCATTATAGTCACCCATCGTGACATCCGTGTGGACCAGGGTCAATAAATCACATAGAACATCACTCTGTGTTGAGCTTTATCTTGTGCTGCAGCTGCTGCTGCTGCTACTGCCAACTGAGGCGTAGTTCAGGAGTTTCATCATGGCGCCATCGGTAAGTCACGGTTGTTTAGGAGCCAGAGGTTGTCTGCAGGCCACTCTGTTACCTAATGTGTGGGTAAGCTTGATGTATGAACATGCCATTTTATGGGATATTCCCCTGAAAGGGATTACTGGTTGAAGAATGTCTTTGAAGCCCGTCAAAATAATGAGTTTATGGTCACAGTGTTGTCCAATGTCAATGGCTCATGACAAGACTTTGTATCTGCTGTGTCAATGATATGGCAATTTGTTGACACTTACCATCTTGGCAATAATTAATATATCAAGATCTGCATTGCCTTTGTCTGGGGATTCAGGGGTAGAATTGGTCCCGAGCAACCTATGCTTGTAAGAGGTGACTAAGTGGATCAGGTGGTCAAGTCCAGTGAATTGGTTGACTGCATGTTGTCGTCGGTTAGTCTGATCTAGACTCCATTATTACAGACCGATGGTAATTGGTATTGTTATGTATAAAACAACAAACACACAACCTTAACTTCATACTGACATACAAATACCAGAATGGAAAGAACATGAATAAAGTTGGTGTCTCTTATTCTCTTGAATCAAAGTTCTGCTTAAAAAGTGAAATTATATCCCAAGAATCTGTATATAACTAAACACATTTACCTCCAACGATCCTGTTCCTTAGTTTTTCAGAAGCAACCCAAAAGGTAGCATAAAGTACAGGGATGTGAAATCTCCGCGGAAACGCGGAAAATCGCGTTTTTTAAAACAGTAGTCCTCGGAAAAAATCATCTTCCGCGTAAAAATTAAATAAAAATTTCGAAAAAAAACACTCCGAAAAATATGATCGAAAACCGGACAAGCATCGCGGATTGTCCTGTTTTCGATCAGAGCTTTCACCAGCATAGGTTTTCGGACATCATACGTTTTCTATCACGAATACTTGCACTATAACGAGGGGTGTGGCGTCACACAGAAATTGTAAATACTCAGAGTCAGCTGATGGCTTGTTTTTAAGATAAAGTTGTCTTTTAGCCTGTAAGTGAATGAGATGTTTTACAGTTGTTAATGTGATTAGCGAGAAAACTATGAATGTTTCTTCAGCGTCCAAAACCCCATAACATGGGGATATATGTTGTATTAATGTCTTATGTTTGCAATGGAGTTTTGTTTTTTTCATCAAAAGGTAAGTACAAGGTAAGTTTTTTTTCAATATGGTTCAACATTGGGGAAAGGGTCAGACATTGCACGCTTGTGACAGTTGTCCTTGTGTCTGGGGGATGGGGGTTCAAGTTTATGGCAGTATTGCTCCCAGACCTGGCGGGTAGCCAGGTGCGCGAAAGCTATGCCCAATTTTATAAAAGTACTGATTTAACTTCGAAATTTTACTGCATCTGCCATCTTGTTTATTTGACTTATTGACTTTTTCCATTGACTTATTACATTTCTTGGTGTGAATGTTTTCCAAACTGCACGAAATTGCTTAAAATGCAATCAAATGTTTAAAAAATTTCTGGGGGGGGGCATGCCCCCAGGACCCCCCTAGACTTTTCCTCTTTTTTTGGGGAAAACCTGCTCACATCCCTGAAAGTATGTCTGCCTATTCTTTTCTTCTGATGCTGAGGGAAATTTACAAACACGATCACCGTAATACTTGGCTAGCCTTGGTCACTTGTAATAAAGTGAACAGTGTTTTCAAGACACCCTCCAAGCAAACGTTGGGCAGTAGGGTAGGGTGGTGGCTAAAGCTTCTGTTTGTCACAACGAAGGCCAGGTTTGTGACCCACATGGGTACAATAAGAGAAACCCATTTTGGTCCCTTCCCTGATATTGTCCAAATAGTGCTAAAAACAATGTAAAACCCAATTTACTAACCCAAAGCAAACGTCTTGACCATCATCTGCATGCCTTGACCATCAACAGTTTGACCATGGCAAACACCTGTATAAGTAGGTCCAATTGGGTTAATCGGGATCACCTTTAACAGAAGGGATAGAATTAAACCACGGAGGTCACCTGGCTAGTGATGAGATGGGCACATCCCAACAGGAGCAGGAATGAGCCTTCGCTCTGCCTTGATTATTACCCACGGCATTGCTGTATACAGTCTGTAGTTACCTTGGGCATTGATAATTACCTATGGCCATTAGCTTTTGCTCATCAGTGACAACCAATCTATTACTCCATGGAGTACAAGGTCTACAAGGTACCTTACACAAAGTAATTGGAGTGCGAACCATTAGAAGACAGGTCTTTGAACACAGGAACTCTAAGAGCACCATGTGGGACGGTCTTGTTTATATTTACGAACTTGAACAGCTGAAAGTCACCTTCATCCCATGTCTCAACATGTGCTGATGGTTCAGACGGTGAGATAGTGACACCTGGTGCGATGTCCAAAACATATCCTCCTCATTTCCCACCCTCGAGTCAATGATCATCAATTCCCCTTGAAACAAACTAAACATTCGTTCAATTTAGAAAAGTTTGAAATGGCTGTGATTTCTTCTGATTCCTCATCTTGTTGGCAATCCACCAAGATAGGCAATCTGGACCATTGACTTAACTCAGTTTAATCGAATTGCATACTTAACTATCAAAATCTCAACACGATTTCGTGTTGCCCAGCAATATTGGTCTTCGTGGTAGAACAGATTCTCAACAGTCTAGCCCTGGAACCGATACGGTCCAACACTGCACTGGTTGTAATTTGTTTGGTATTTTGGACGCCGGACTGCAATATACAGACGATGGCCTGTAATTAATCGAGTTAAGATCAGACAATCCAGTGATTGATATTGTGAGTAATGATCCACGCCGCCGGGGTACGGTGAAACGCCATCAGCTAAGTCATCGAACCTCGGAACCCGATCCATTAAGTCGCTTCTTACAATAAGCATAGGTTGCTGGGGACCAATTCTAACCTGGAATACCCGGGAGGTTTGAAACAGGACATGACATTTTGGGGAGAAAAAGGGGAGGGGGGACCAACTGTACCCCCGTATAAAAGCTAAGCACTGCTTATGTTCTATTGACACATGTAATATTTTGTTTTTAATTGGAATCAGTATTAATATTCAACGAAACATTTATTTACGAAGTGGGGGCGGTGGGGTAGCCTTGTGGTTAATGCGTTGGTGCGTCATGTGAAGGCCCGGGCTCGATTCCCCACATGGGTACAATGTGTGAAGCCAATTTCCGGTGTCCCCCGTCGTGATAGAGCTGGAATATTGCTAAAAGCGCCGTAAAACCATACTCACTCACTATTTCCTAAGTGAGATACTACTAAAGAAATACAGAAACCTGAATCGATGATGTATCGCCATATCGCTGTTCGGGCTATAGATAGCTAAAGATATTTCACTTTCTATTTCTGTTGTTTCTTTTAATCATATATGATCCAGTACCAGCGAGCATCTGGAAGAAGACAATCTTTTACAAACTGTTCATTAGTGATCAAAGGTATCTCTGATACTTGTTTCCAGTGACGTACTGACTAGTTGAAGTCTGTTGCTTGTCGTGACACCTGACACCTGTAGGTGTCCAATTGAGGGGTGTCCTCTTGGGGGAGAAACAAAAGGGACACCTGTTCTGACGTGACTTTTCCAAAAACATTACCTTAACACAACTGCCAGAGTGGTTGATCCTTGGAAGTATTCCGTGTTATGAAAAACCCATTTAAATTGTGTAAATAAAGAAGTGTTATAAACCACGGAATCAAACAAATCTCGTGCTGTAAGTGTTTTTTCTCACATCGTTTGAAGATGTTTGACTCAAACTGTTCCCTGCATTCCCAGGGCACACTCCTAGCCTCCTTGGTTTCTTCTTGTGTGAAAACCTGCCCCGCAATCACGGGAGAGCCCCGGTGCTGACATAATTGTCTCCGAAGAATTCCAGCGTCAAAGCAAAAAGTATCGATACACGGCCAGGACATAAAAAAAAAACATGCTTGTGGTAATTGCAAGAGACCATTATGTCAGCGTGGTATCGATGTTTACCCTGTTACAAGCTTCAATCAGCACTTTTCACGCACCAAACTTTGATTTTATCAAGCTAATGATAACGCAAGGCGGTGTAGGGAGCTATTTAATCTGAAGCCCGTGTCCTCAGCGCTCGAGGGAAGTACGATTCGGGTCAGACGTCAGTGTCCGGTAAATTCCGGAATTCCGAGTCGACCTTTGTGTTGTTTATGGAAATATTCCGTGATGGTGTATGGATTGCGTGCGAAGGTTTGTCACTGGAGAGTGAAAAGCATACGTTGGTCGCACGATTTAATAACTTATCACGAATGGAAGTATTATTCCATCCTCGATTGTCCAGGATATTATGTCTCCATTTTATATTAATTAATTTATTTATCTCGACCCATGCATTCACCACAATTGCTTCGTTTCGGGAGTGGCGTCACTACCTCAGTGGGTGCTCTCTCTGATCTAGCACATATACTCTCCCAAAAAAGAAACGCAAAACGGATATGTTTGGCCAGAAGAGAAAACTTAGCGGACCAAGGGGTGCAAACTGAAGAGGTTTAATGTGTTATAGTGTCAGTGACAAATTTCCCGGATCAAATGATCACAACAAGGGCATGCAAATCGTTAGTCGGGAAACACGTACGATTCGGAAGAACGCACCCAGTGCATTAACAAAAAGGCCATGGAACTGCACGTGCAGCAGCACTATGAACGGTATCAATTTTTGGGGTTTTGATTGCCTGGCATCTGCGTCAATCGAACAGTGATAGTTCAACAACAGGCCAAGATTAACAGAAGTGCAAAGAAACATTGTCGGAGGCAGGGGAATCCCGATCAGCTGTACGAAACCGTTAAAGAGCAGAATGTCTTCGAGCAAGACGTCCTGTTCGACACGTCATACTGAGTCGACAACATCGTCAACAACGACTGCATTGGTGTCGTCAACACAGCGACGAATCAAGATTCGTCGAGGGGGTGGAAGAGC